TGCTATGCAAATACTGTGTGTCAATGTATTCTTTTTATCCCAGTACTGCGAGAAGCAGTGGTAGCTCAACAAAATGATGTAATGATGGAATTATGTGAATCATATTTAAATCCCACTGGAAACCTCCTAAGTTCTTTGATGGTAAGACAATTAGTAGATACGATCAATGATATTGAACATTTTACCTTACCTGAACAACAAGATGTTCCTGAATTTATTGCTTACCTAATGAACTGTCTCCCAGAACTTGAAAAAATAGTTAAACATGAATTGACAATAGAATACAAATGTTTAAATTGCTCACATAATTACAAAGATGACAATGTTAATAAAAACTTGATTTTGCCAATTTATACATCACACAATACGAATTCTTTAAATAAATTATTTAAAAAATCTTATGGAAACTGGGAAAACATTACTAAAACATGTGGTATGTGTGGTTCCAACAACTCAATGACAAAAAGTACCGTTTCTCTAACTGAGCAATGCTCTGTTATTTTTGTACAACTAATGATTTTTGAAGTTAATGGAGGTAATTGGGTCAAAAATCTTAAAACCCTTACCAATCTACACAGTGAAATTGTTAAAATAGATGATGCTAATTTTAAAATATCTGGTATAATAGATCACCATGGAACAAATATTACTAGTGGCCACTACACATGTAAGCTTAGGTGTGGTAATACATGGTATCAAGCTGATGATAACAAAGTCACAAAATGTAACAAACCTGAAGTTGAAACTAACACATATGTAATAGTACTGGAAAAATGTTAAAGAAAAAACAAGAAAATATTTCTAGACAGTGTCACCTCACAAGTTTGACCTGATAAAGGCAATGTCCTCTCAACTGTTCTTCACAAAATACAGTTAATTGAACCTTTAAATAATAGTGCAGAGGTCAAGATTACCCACATATTCTAAATTAAATAACAATACACATTTTGCTATGATTTCTTTAATTTTCTACTATGTACAAAACTTAAAAATAATTTAGGAAATCATACACAATTTTAACAAATATACTCATATATCAGACACAAAAATAAACATAAAAATTTCACTTTCTACAAATTAAGTAAATGCGTATCAAAAATGTAGACGGTAAAAAACACTACTGCTCGTCTCAGAGATGAGGTGCTTGGGCGCTCTACTACCATAACGAAATTTAACACTAATTTAATTGAAAATGTAATACACCTTGTGCAATACTTTAGGGTAGGAAAAACAATTTACAGCATAGATAACATAGATGCCTTACCATAGATTGGGTAGGTGAATCAATTGTTCCGACTGTTCTTCACGAAAGACTGTTCATTATAAAAAAATGTACGGCAATGTCATCTCACAAGGTAGAGGTGACAAAGGCTACGTGCCCAACTGTTCTTTACGAAAGACAGTTCATAAAAAAGATGCTATAGCAATGTCATCTCACAAGGTGGAGGTGATTAAAGGCTACGTGCCCAACTGTTCTTTACGAAAGACAGTTCATAAAAAAATATGCTAAGGCAATGTCATCTCACAAGGTGGAGGTGATTAAAGGCTACGTGCCCAACTGTTCTTTACGAAAGACAGTTAACAAAAAAAATATGCTACGGCAATGTCATCTCACAAGGTGGAGGTGATTAAAGGCTACGTGCCCAACTGTTCTTTACGAAAGACAGTTAATGAAAAAACAAAAAAAAATTATGATTGTGATTCAACAGTATAAGTGTAAATATATTATTACTAGTATTATTAGACATATAATTTGTTTGTTTTTTCAGATAAAAAAAGATGCTACGGCAATGTCATCTCACAAGGTGGAGGTGATTAAAGGCTACGGTGCCCAACTGTTCTTTACGAAAGACAGTTCATAAAAAATGTGCTACGGCAATGTCATCTCACAAGGTGGAGGTGATTAAAGGCTACGGTGCCCAACTGTTCTTTACGAAAGACAGTTAATAAAAAAATATGCTAAGGCAATGTCATCTCACAAGGTGGAGGTGATTAAGGGGAGACTGTACCTTTTCTGGTCCAATGCTTTTTAAATGGATATTCTCTACAAGTTCAAGTACCTACATATAGCACAAAAACTACTAAACCTATCATACTGATTTTTTGAACACTTAATTATCACATTCATATCATTATGTTAAACCACTTAAAAAAAATATATATATATATCAATATAAAAATTATTTTCAATAATTTAAAAAATACAAATTTTTATGAGACATTCTAAAAATAAAAATAATTATTTTTAAAATGAAAATTTATAACTAATCAATATATGATTGGTTTAATGTACTCACCAAGTACCCAGACTAATGCATGCAAATTTTTAAGTCTCTATGTATTACAGATTTTGAAATATATGTACCTAAAGATAAAAAAACAAACTTTCGGAAAAACACACTTAAAGCTTTGCAGCACACACTCAAAGCCATAAGAATAGTGGGGCCGAAACCTCCGTAGAGTCAGCTTTGTTTATTTATTGTTATCATAAGAAGCTTTCTAATATTCTAAGTATTATATATTTTCTTAATCAGGAAGAAACGGAGATTAATTTTAGACGAAAAACAAAAATTAAATTTTTTAAGACATAAAAGGTTTAGTCTCCCCTTAAAGGCTACGTGCCCAACTGTTCTTTAAGAAAGACAGTTAAGATGCTACGGCAATGTCATCTCACAAGGTGGAGGTGACTAAAGGCTACGTGCCCAACTGTTCTTTACGAAAGACAGTTAATAAAAAAAGATTGTGATTTTGATTCAACAGTATAAGTGTAAATATATTATTAATAGTGTTATTAGACGTATAATTTGTTTGTTTTCTCAGGTTAAAAAATATGCTACGGCAATGTCATCTCACAAGGTGGAGGTGATTAAAGGCTACGTGCCCGACTGTTCTTTACGAAAGACAGTTAAGATGCTACGGCAATGTCATCTCACAAGGTGGAGGTGACCAAAGGCTACGTGCCCAACACTGTTCTTTACGAAAGGCAGTTACGTGAACTGTCTTTTTTAAGACAGTTCTGCAGAAGGGTTTCTCCATACCACAGTCCTTGCTTGTGTCACCAAGGCTGTGGGAACCTCTTACCCTACAGTGGTTCTCAACGTTACACTTAAGAATAATTTGTAGTACAGTATATACAAATTTAAAAAATGCACAAATCTCTAAAACATAAAAACCTACCTTATCCACTAAAGTAACTTTATTCTTTTTTATAAACTTTGATTTTTACAACATACAATTTTATTTTACTTTTAAAAGATAACACATTAACTTAACAGTTTTAAATAACAAAATAACAAGTTGACTCAAAAAAAATGTTTAGGTATTGCTAAAATATAAGAGTATTGGCTAGGGAAAGGGTCATGAATGTAATAAATATCATAACTAACAAATATCACAACTAATTCAAATCACTAAATACAAATCTAATGTAATATTATGGAATTTATTATTTTGGGTATTAATTAATTATTTTGTCAATTGAAAATATATTCTCTGGGTTAAAAATTTATTGGGAACCACTGTATTAAAAAAAGAGTGACCTCCAAGGTGGTGGAGAGGTTGACGTTTCTTTGGAGGCTTTTTTACTAACATCCACTAGTGACATATTAATCTAAGTTATATACATGTTGAAAGATATGCAAAATTATTTCTCTCAACAAAATCAAACAACAAATTTAAACTCAAATTTAATAGTTATCAATTTTGATTTAAAATAGTCGTAATTTTAATTAAATTTGAAAAATTAATCAGTTAACACCATGATAAAGCTACCCATCGACCCCTTGATTTTATCATCTCCTTCTGAGCACTCCGGGAATGAAATTAGAGCATGGCTGGTTTTAGGGTTAGGTCTTACCTGTAGGCTACAATGAATACAAGTTTAATCTCCCTTTTAGAGTTTACACTACACACATTTCTGGCAATCCCTTAAAATTTACCTCACAACAAGGTTTTATGGAGTACGAGTGGGGTTTTTTCACCTTCAAAACTTAGAATTTACTAATACTTAATACTTTAATACTTTTTGATGAAATGGCGACCATACAAAGTAGGTATTTTAAGACAAATATGAATGGAGATTAGTGTAGGATGAGTGGCGCGATCTTGTAGTCTTGTTAGTGACTAAGGCCGACATTCCTTAGACACAGCTGTTAATTAATAGCCAGCTAATGGCAACTAAGTGACCTACAGTTTATAGTGGAATCCGAACCACATTTTCCTTGTAATTAACAATTGGTCTATTTATCAAGATAGTACTGCGGGTAGTCGTAGTACTCACTAGTGCGGACGTTAATCCACACCAGGGAGCATCGCATCTACAGTGCATACCTATATCCACAATTTGTGACCTCCTAGTAGCTGGATTTCAGGACGACGCCACCGTCCCAGTCAATCTTTACTACTTATCAATCTCTACCCAAAGCATTTTTTAGAGCTTAAAAAACAAATAGTCTAGTGTATATATATGAAGTGTTTTTCTGCGGTAATTGGTTACAAAGAAAATTTTATAATTGTAAATTTCAAAATCACAGAATAAGTAATCTGTTGTAACTTGGTTTTAGTTGATCAAACATTGCAAATTTATTTATTTTATACTAAGCTATTAACATTTTCCTAAAAGAGAAACTAAAAAAAAATAATTGACCACCCTGTACTAGAAAATTCAATATAATTTTATATAAATAGGGATAAACTGGACACGTAGAAGAAAGCATGTTTAAGTAAAAACCAATCAGGCAGATGGAAATTCGCTTAGTCTGCAGGTTTGCTGCGGCGGGGGTATTAACTGTATGTTGTGTACTTTTGAAAAGGATTCAGTGCGAATGCTTTGCACGGGTTGCCTAGTATTTTATACATTCTTTAATATACACTGTTTTTTTTTTCATAAATTGTACATGCAAATGTAGGCTTTAAATAAATATAGCCTACTTGAATAGAAAACTATCTACACCAGGATAACTGCAAGATGCGTGTTGTTGTATTTGTATGTGTTGTTTCAGAGGTAACGAGTCAGCATTCCTGATATCTCCGAGATACCAAAAGCTCAACATGTTAGGTCTCGGCTACAGCGTGGGAACTCCCGAAGAAGGCATCACTGCTGATGTTTTAGTTGTCAAGTCATTTGATGAACTGCACGAACGAGGCCCTGAGGTAGGTGTTCAACAACCAATCATTAGATCACAGGTCGATCCTGAGGAAAGTCAGTACTTTTTGATGCTTCAAAACTGGACCCAGCACTTCTTGATCATTGAGCTTTACATGAAAACTCTTAAATAAAGAACCAGCTGATCTCAGTAACAACACATATCACTTCATTTCCTTCTACACTCACGCTCCATTTAGTTTGAGAAACATACACAAAGTTTGAGGCTCATGATCCCGAGGTATAACACCACTGAGTACAACACAACAAACATGACAATCCATGTGTAAGAATTTCCTAGTCAACCATCAATACAGCTACTAATTGATTCCAAACTCAAACTAAAATATCTTTATTTTTGACAGACGTTACAAACTGCATAATAGCATCAACAAAATTTCTCTTAAACAAATCAAAACAAAATTTTCTTATGGATAAAATCTAAAAACTAAAGATCATTGTTTTCTTAAAAACTAAAAAGTCTCCAACACTATAACAACAACGTGACAAAAGAAGCCTCTTAATCCTTTTGCCAAATTTGTCCACACTATTTTCCATCTTCAGGGAAGTGGGCAGTGCATTGAATAGTTGAATGCCATTGTAGACTGTTATTATTCATTTATAGACTGTTATTGTAGACTGTTTATATTAAAAAAAAAACAGTTTTGAAAATCATTTATTAAGTCGAATTTCTTTCCTGTCAGTAAGAAATTCGACACAAAATAACTATTCATTGACATCTGAAGTAAAGAAAACATAAGAGATAAGAGGTGATGTTTGAAGATGGAATTCTTAAACATACATAGAGTGGTTGGTAGGTATATCAAAATGAAGACTATTGAAAAAAAAAATATAAAAGCTAAAGAATCCATTCGGTAATTACATTTGAGTTGTTCTTGTTTTGACTTCTTTAAAGTGAATAATCTGATTTAATTTCCAGGGTTAACCATTTATTGTAGAGAGCACAGACTAAGTATGTTGGTCGTCATGGATGAAGTAGTAATAATTTATAAATAAAAATACTTTTTGAAAATGCCACGTTTTTAAACGCACTAAAAAGTATAAAATAATTTATAAAATGTTGAGAGAATAAATACTTGTAAGATTTAAAACGAAAAACGTGGGGCGCATGCTGATTTACAATAATTAACTTCACCTATTGAACTATTATGATCTATTGCATGCGCCCCACGTTTTTCGTTTTAAATCTTACAAGTATTTATTCTCTCAACATTTTATAAATTATTTTATACTTTTTAGTGCGTTTAAAAACGTGGCATTTATAAAAAGTATTTTTATTTATAAATTATTATCTAGTTTTTAGTCTATAATGTGTAAATATGTTAAATCTATTTTATATAGCCTCTTAATACAACCAAAACCCAAAACCTTATTATCTGTAATCACATAATTTATCTTTACTTTGAAATGATTGTTTTATATTTTTAGAATATCTCAGGAGCAGAACCTGTACCTCTTAACATCTGCTCTTCTAACTGTCAAATTTAAGTATTTACAGCTGACTTACATTAATTTATATGTTTACATTCTTTTAAAATGTAAACATAGAAAATTTGGAAGCCAAAGGGGCGTAGCCCAAGGGAAATATGAAAATTAATTAAATGATATAATATTGCATTGTCATCCATTTGTGAGCTATGTTTCAAGTCTCTAGCTCATCGGGAACTTCGTTTAAAATTGATATCAAAATTTGTAGGAAAGCGAGCTAATAAAAACAATCCCATGGGGCGTAGTCCAAGGGAAATATGAAAATTAAATGATATAATATTGAATTGTCATCCATTTATGAGCTATGTTTCAAATTTCAAGTCTCTAGCTCATCGGGAAGTATCAAAATTTGCAAGAAAGCGATTTAATAAAAACAAGCCCATGGGGCGTAGCCCAAGGGAAATATGGAAATTAAATGATATAATATTGAATTGTCATCCATTTATGAGCTATGTTTCAAGTCTCTAGCTCGTCGGGAAGTTAGTATGAAATTGATTTCAAAATTTGTACCGGACAAGAAAGCGAGCTAATAAAAACGTTTTAAAAACAAAACACTTGGATTTGAGAAATAAATATTTGTTTGTTTCGATTAATTTAATTCACATGTTTCAGCTGATTGAATAACGTAAATAAATATTTCAAGTTTAAATTACTTGCAGAATGATATAATAGATAGTTTAAAAAAAAAAAAAACTATTGAAAAATAAGTGTTTTGTGTACTTTCCTAGCGTAGTGGGTAAAAAAAGCTTTGAAATATGAAAATTGGTGAAGAATTAAGGAAATTATGGTCTACCGAAAAAAAACAACACTATAATATAATATATAGATTATTTTAATATGTACTATTTTAATTTTAATTTAAGTAATTACGCCATTCGAGATTCGATGTATACAATGTGTGCCCTACTTAATGAATGAATGTTAGTGAATATAACAAATTTTACTCTATTATAATGTAAAGCTATAATATTCATTATCTTTCAGGCTCAAGGCAAGATTGTAGTGATCGCAGAGGACTGGCTCGGTAGCTATGGAGCAACCGTCAAATATCGAAGTTTAGCAGCGATAGAGGTAAGATATAAATTATTTTAAATACTTTGTATATTACCTATTTTTACAATTTTATTTTACAACCAGAAAGATTTATTTTTTAAATTAAGTTTTGTAGTCTACGTTATCATGGCAACTTATAAATTTACAAGTCCACTAAAGGTAACAAAGGCTCAGGTCCATCCTTCCTTCCATCCTTAAGAGGTTAGGAATTAATCTCCTTGTTAACACATCAGGATTTTACTGTCTGTTTCCAGTGTCACAATTAATAAACCAAACAAAATTTAGGACTGAAAATCTGAATTCGTTAAGAAACCAAAGCTATTAACAACTGATGACACTCCTTTACAACAAGAGTTAAGAAGTCCCTTGAGCCAGTGCTCCATGCAGTAGTCTTTGGAGGTTATCGGCTATTGCACACTATTTGCAGGTACTAGGCATGAGGGCACCTCACCTCTGCATATGTATCTATCTGTAAACTTCATTACTCATATCTTTGTTGTGGTGAGTGGTGAGTTGGTAGTCGCGTCATTTTATCAGCGCAGTCTTGTGCCTTCGTGAAGTGGATTCTGTTTTGATTTGTAAGTTGCTTGCCGCCATCAAGAATCAAGAATTTTATTGTCGTTAAGCACATGGCAATAGACAAAGTCAAATACAGTATTATAAGATAAAACAAATCAATAAAATATTATTCTAACTTGGCCAGCGTTAGGTGTTCCGCAAGGTTCCATACTTTTTTTGTAAATTTCTGTACCTAAGATAAAACCTTACTTATGTGGATAAACATACTGGTACTATATAAGTACAGTCTTGATCAAATAACAATAAAGAATGACTGTATTAATTTATATCACTCCTAATCGGTACTTTGGTTCAGCTGTGAACTTATTATTTTAAAAATACTGTTTTTTCTATTCACATTTGCATACAATCTAGTTGTAACACATAAACCATACTTGCAGGTAGCCAAAGTAGGGGGCGTGGCAGCTCTGATCAGGTCCATCACTCCGTTCTCCATCAACACTCCCCACACAGGCATGATGCATTATCAGGATGGCGTCACCAAGATACCTGCGGCAGCACTCACTGTGGAAGACACCCAGATGTTGCTGAGGATGAGTCAGAGAGGTAGGTTATTGTGATTACTCTAACCTGTTTTACTCAAAGTGTCACATAGTAGAATTTGAATACAGGCGAGCCAGCTCCATTGTAGAAAGTTTATTTAGGATTAAAATTTGTCGATCTAAAGATAGGATTGATTTGGAAAGAAGCTTTCTGTAGTCTTTTAAAGCTTTTAGTCAATTAATAACTCAAGTCAATTTCAATTTTCAATTCAGTTTGACATAAACCAATTAAAATTTTTTAAATGTTTTTGGTTAACTCAAATTTTAGTGTTACATGGTGCAGTTGAAAATGCATACTTCCTGTATTAGTAAGTTTACAGGTGATGTCCCACTGATGCTTAACCCTCCGAGTGTTATTTGTCGATGTTTCGACACATAACACACTTTGTGTAGTGTTTTGTGTCGATGCATCGACTCACAAACACTGTTTACGGCGAAGGCTCTATGACTGACAAAATCGGATTGAACTGGATCGAATAGGTATCGTTTTATTTGCCAGATTCAGAGCTTTCTCCGGAGGTCTGTCTCTAAGTGCTTTTCATTTTAGTTCCGAAAATATTGTAGCAGACAGCTGACGTGCGTATTTGTAAACAGCTTGGTTAACCTCGCACCGATGACTGATGTGTTTTATTACGTTTATCATTGTTTTAGTGTTAAAAATCAAAAGTAGTGATATACGTGGTGCATTATAAGAAGATTTAAGTGATTTTGAAGGGCTGGTTGATGATCCTGAAGAAGTAGATAGTGATATTGATGTAAATTATCAGCCAGATTCCTAGCTATGGTTAGGCTATGCATTCTTAGCTAAACGCTACGTACTGAAATCTGTTTTTTGCCCATAACTTATTTATTTGCAAATCTACTTCCTTATATTATTATATATTTGTAATCCTCATAAAATTTAGAACAAAGTGGCTATTTTCAAATATTTATAGGCCTATAATTTATACAATTTATTGAGCGCAAACTTATTTTTTTTTTGAACATTTTCCAAAATATTTTTTTTTACCTAAAAATTTTTTTTGAAACAAATGTTTTTTATGTTTTATGTATAATATTGAAGCCCATGATTTTCCAAACAAAATGGTATATAGAACAGTATAATTAACATTGTTTTCAAGCTTCTCAGATCCGTTTTAATAAAACCTTGCAAATGAGCAAAAAATAGGCAGACATTAAGGCCAAAACAAGGGACACTCGGAGGGTTAAAAACCTGAAGGATAATTTAATTACTGATTGTCCCCTAAACTTTGTGCAGGCACTCCTCTCAAGATCCAGCTCAAGATGGAGGCGAAGACGTTGGAAGACGTAGTGTCTCGCAACACAGTTGTTGAACTACAAGGTACTCAGTATCCTGAAAAGGTGGTTCTAGTCTCTGGACATCTGGACAGTTGGGACGTCGGACAAGGTAAAACTGGTTTTGTCATTCCAATAAGCCTCTTTGGGCACAAGGAAACTCGGGCCATGAGCTCAGTAGTTTTCTAATATATAGTTTCAGGTCTGCCAATTGAGTGGAGTAAACAAAGAAGTTAGAAAAAATCTTTTTTTTTTTAATAAAATTTGAATTTAAAAATATACTAATATAAAAACGTTAATGTAATGTATAAACGTTAACGTAAATGTATAGGATTATACATTTATGCAAACTAAATATCCTTAAAATATCCCACACTCCGCACTGCCATTCTTTACTACTTCCTCCATCACTTCCTACGCCATGGACCTGTTTTCCTCGCTTCTCATAGCATTTTAATATTGCAGCAGATAAAATCAGTAAGATAGTGTATGGTACCTCTTAAATACAGTAGTCGCAATTAGTCCAGGCGCGCGGCCGCGCTAGGGCCTGGGGTGTAAGGGGGTGTGTTTATTGCTAATTTCCAATAACATCTGGGTTGGAAGGGGTGGGTGGAATGTACACAGGACAGCTAGTAGAGACGGAACCGTGCTCCCAGACTGCCCTGTAATACTTTCTCTGTATTCTTTGATCAAAGGTTGCCTGAGTGGTTTTTCCTTTGTGCTGTATTTAGATCGTCTATTAGATTGCTAACAAGCATATGCTAAGATTCTTTGTTTACATGTATGTTGTTATCTCGTAACCATCATGGCAACTCATAAGGCTAATGCTAAAAACATTACTTTGGTTTCAAATTGTACAGACATTATCTAATTGATATTAGTTTGTTTAATAACATGGACACTGTTTCTCAAAATAACCCTGGAAAGTTTGGATTATGTTCAGCTGTTAATGAGTTAATTGATTATATAGCTTGCATAAGGTCCGGTCTCAAAGAGCTTCGCTCGCTCCACCCAATTAGTTTGGATTGTACTTGGTTAACTTAAGCCCTAAGCCTATTTTTCATATTTTTCTGTGAATATTTTTATGATATTATTATGTCCTTTTATGTCTTTTATAATGAGTTTATTGTAACACGATGCGTCTATATTTATCTAAAATAAAAGGGTAAAAAAGAAAAATCTGCGTCCTCCTCCTATTTACTAATGTTAAGCCATTTCTGAGACGCCAACCACAGCTTACTAGTCTCCAATGATTGTAACTGCAATTTCTCATCCTTAAAAGCATTAGCAATCGCATCTGTTATAGCCCAAGTCCCCACTTTTACAGAGAATTCATTATCAGACTTGATACTTTGGGACATTTTCCGTCTTCATTGCAGAGTAAAAACCTCTGCTGGTAATAAAGTAGACATGTCGTCAAGCATATAGCATTCATTCTCTGATAGCCCCTGGACTACGTATATATGACTTTTTAGGCTTACCACCGTCAATACCAAAACTGTACCTAACTTAAATTATTCAAGGCTGACATGTTTCATTGGAATGCAACATCCTCGATGCTCACATCAAAAACATTTAAATTTACATGTAATATAGTAAAGGTATATACTGTATTATGTGTAAATTTTGATGTTTTTGATGTGAAGCTCCGACGATGTTGCATTGCAATGAAACTGTCAGCTTAAAATAATTGAAGCTAGGCACAGTTTTGGACTACTGACTGAGGTAAGCCTAAAAAGACAACCATATGACCAGGGATAGCCCTGGAGATGGCTTTGCCAGTCATCATTTTTATGAAGTACAGCATTGGAACCGTTTATCTGTATCAACACTTCCTTTGGTCCTGAACCATTCATTATTGTCCCAATTGAGCCCAAAAGATTTATGAGAGTATAGAAAGACCCAAGTGTTAATACTGTGTTCTTGAGTTTTTTGTAGGCTACTCATTTGTGATGCATTCCAGTACTAAGGTTGACGATGTTTTAAAATAAATGGCTCTCAAATTAAGCAAAATAGCCTGGATTTAAAATCTTAATTTTAACTACTTTTCCTAGGTTAGATTTTGTCCAATTTTGGATATGTTCTAAAAAAAAACAACATTTGTTGAGTTGAATACACTTCAATCGCTTATGAAGCCATTTTGCCCAGGTCAAATCATAATTTTACTAGATTAAATAAAAAATAAAAAAATAAAAAAAAATAAAAAAACTATGCTACTTGTCTTAAAACTACAATTTCTTATAGAAATAATTAAATAGCTAATAAAAATAAATCTCACAAAACCTATTAAAAATTGAATGCAAAGCAAGGTTTGTTAATATTTTTGTTGTTTTAGGAGCTATGGACGATGGAGGTGGTGCTTTCATTTCATGGGGTGCTCTGGCCTTGCTCAAAAGCCTAGGACTCAGGCCAAAACGCACTATTAGGTAATAACTTACTATCTTAGGAAATTGTCTTGGAAGGAACAATTTAGTTTGCATTGTAAGTTTAGGATTGTTATTAATTGCTCATGAGACTGTGAGGAACAAAACTGCATGCTACTGGTTCAAATCTTCAAAATTAATAATTTAAGTAAACATATTTTTAGTGTAGACAAACCATATAAAATATGGTTTGTCTCTAACAAATTTTGTGGTTTATGCACTTGTGGAGCCCAACCTCCACAGCCACTTGAATATCCCACCATTAAGGTAAGAATAGTTCATAAGTCAAGCCATGCACCAACCCAAGACGTGGCTGTCACGCATGCGCGGCACGTGAGGTAATTGATGATTGATCACGTGAGGAAAGCAACTGACTCGGAGTTGGTGTGGTGGGTGCAACGCAACAGGAAACATGGCTGAGTAACAGGTGCGGGACATGGGGTAGGGCCCTAGTGAGGTATGGTGTTCAAAACATAAGTTAAGGTAAATTTCTCATTATATTCATTTCAGGTTCAATAATTTATAATGTCCAAATTAACTTCAGTGTCAGTGTTTCGATATCTATATTACCTAAATTACGACACTTGAAAATTACTAAATTAAGACACTTGAAAAACGTTCCCAGTTTGTGGCGGCACTGAAAAAGCTCTACTTTGAGAAGATTGTCTCGGCTGGCGTGTCCTAGGGCTAGGTACTGTTTCTTTGCGCGTTTGCTGATGCATCTATGTGAGAGTGTGTAAATGTGTTTTTTATTTGTTAAATTTGTCTGTTTCTTCTTCTTTCTGAGAAATGTAGGTACTTGAATTTTTAAATATTTTTATGTTTAATTAGATTAAGTTATCCCAATGTAACATTATTTATGTTATATTTTTGAATGTCAGGTTATGACTAAGAAAGAGCCATATAGCCCTAACTTTGGCTGAAAAAATAAACGATTTTAATTTCATTTCATTTTAAATTAATGCTTTATCTTGTGTCCATTCAAATTTGCTCTTGTAATATATTGATTGAAAGTGAATAATTTCATAGTCAAGGTAGGGACTGTTAAAAATTGGTTGTAGTTGGGGTTTAGGCTTCGATCTAATAAAAATGCAATAGAATAACAATAATGAATGTACTGTAACATTGTGGAAGAAACCTAACCTCAAAATTGTGCTTGACCGTTTTTTTTGTATTTTTTATGGTGTATCCTGGTACTTCACCCCTGCTCTTTCCCTCCATTTAACAATTCTGAGGGCTAGCAGTATTGTTTAGTGCTGCTATCTGTTGGGTTCTTGTAAAACTATGCCCACAACGACTTGGACGCAGTGCATGCCTCACATTTGGATGAAACTAGATTTAAACGTGTTCACGAACTCATCCACGCAGTGCATTAACTGTTCTCGCAACCGCATTGAACTTGTTTAATGTCCCTAACCTAACCTAACTGTGAACAGGATTTGTACATAACATTTCAACCAAAAAACATAGTGTTAGTCGTGTAATGAGAGAGGCCCATAGGTTTATTAGGCTTTGATGAATTTTTATTGTTGATATTCCAGAGCAGTATTGTGGACAGCTGAAGAGGTGGGGCTAATTGGTGCTCAGGCGTACGCCAAGGCCCACCAGAACGAGACTCACAACTTCATGGTGATGATGGAGTCCGATGAAGGAACTTTCACCCCAAGAGGACTGGAATACTCAGGCTCGGACCAAGGTGGTTGCATCATCAAGGAAATACTCAAGTAAGTCATACGTTCAAGAAAAATAACCCACTGCAGAAAACCCGCAGACCAAGCAAAATTCCAATTACCTGGCATGATTTCTACTAAAATATTCCCTTAAAATCGTCAGAACTATTTCCTAATTAAATAAAATTAATTTTAATGAGTACTTAGGTTTGCTGCTACAGGGAATGTATTGAGGTGTGTTTTTTATTAAAATGTTGATAGCTTAAGGCCTATTTTGCTTGATATGTTATTGATATTTTTTAAATGAGCAGGTAGACCGTTGTAAAGCCTCAGACTCATATAGTACGGCAATTTTGAATGTTATTAAACTAACAAAAAGGGTTGAACATGTTTACTAGCGCTACTCAGCAACAAAAACCATTTAATTTATCTCTAAAAGAAGTTTCTCAAAGTGCATAAACAAAATGTCCAAACTCGATACTACAAAAGTTCAGGCCAGAGCCATTTTAATGCGCTTGGATTGTGACATTTATTAATTCGGCTTATATTTCTCTTAACCAATGGATTATTCATCTGCATAAGAAGTTCATTGTGCTCATTGTGTCTAATAACATCCAAACACGGAAACCTTGCCTAAAATAGTACCTATATCTTGACAGATATAGGCAGTGGCCTATTACGGACCTTGACCCACTTGGTTGGCCTTAAAGTGACATTTGTGAAAATAACACTACACTTCGACTGTAAAGCAAATTTCACAAAGAGTAATTCCAACCATATTTTGTAACCAACGCGATAGTCATTAATTTTTCTTCACCTATTTATTACTCATTAATTAAACAATGCTAAATGCTCACATTTTTTTATAATTTCACTCTTTTTGTCACAGTTAGAAGAATTGTCGTAAGCCTTTAAAGCAACTGTCGATTTCGACAGGTTACACCTAGTATAACTAATAATGATATTGAAGAATATCTAACAATATCAAAACACAATGTAAATCAGTCCTTTGTCTTATCATAAAATTATCTAAAGATTTTCTTTTTTTCAGATTGATGAGCCCTATCAAGGCAACAGAGTTCAAAAACAGTTCAGACGTTGGATCTGACATAACTGTGTGGGCAAACCAGGTGCCGCTGCTGAGCAACTTGAATGACAACGGGAAATATTTCTGGTTCCACCACACAGACGCAGACACCATGTCAGTGATGAACTCGGATGATTTAGACTTGAATGTTGCTTTGTGGGCTGCCACAGCCTTCGTCATTGCTGATATGAGTGTGGATTTGCCTGGAGTGGGTTTTCCACAGCAAAACGTGACCGCTCCTATAGCATGAAATGTTAAAATGGATATGTCTTTTAATTTTTAGACCAATATGATGGATACATTGTTAGAGGTTATACTGATTGATATTTTTTACCTGTAAAATTTAGTTATTGTAAGTGCCTTATTAGCTTGTAAGATCAAGTGTACAGTGTAATCTGATTCTTGTATAAATTTTTAAAACATTTTATTCTTGTTGATTTTTTTCTTTGAAGGGTCTTTACCTTGATAACGTCAGCGACAGCGCCGATATGATCCACTGATGTTTCTTTGTCTGTAGTGGAAGTTGAGTCTGAATTTGACTCATTTATGTCAAGTGAGTGAGTGACTTTAATATGACTTTTCAAAATCCCTCTATTTAATTCAAATGTGTCAGCTGGCGCAAGGCCCTATTCCCTACATTGGCTTATCGCTTGCTGCACATTTAATTTACTGATCCAAGATACGCCTGGTGATGGATGGCTGTCCCACTAATGTGGTACCTTAGACGGTTCATACATATTTTCTTTTTGCAACTTATAAATTTATTCACAAAATGATACTGTTAGGGGGCATTGGGGGTTCGATATCTACCACTCTCTTAGCTTATAATTTACTTTTTCCTAATAACTTACATAAATAAATAACAATTAAATTCACAAATATAAATTAATTACCACAATTAATAAACAATCATTGGATAAATTTTTCCTACTCATTTTAGGCTATTTGACTAAATTGAACACTGACTTTTGGTTTCCTCTATCATTTAAATGAATGTTGTCAACCATTGTGTTTATAAAAATTATGAAAGTCTTGTTCGATGTGTAACATATTTTGTATTGAAAAAATCCTAGTACTTTTATTATTCAACTAGCTGTACCCGCGGGCTTTGCCCCGTTTAACTTCATAAGTATTCGCATGGCTCAATCACGTCCTGGTTGAATATTGTTCGCTACGTTAACTAGCCTCCAGGTTGAAGTTTGTTCGCTACGCTCACTCACCTTTTGGTTGCAAATTAGCTGTTGTCATAAATTTAAATAAATAATAGTGCTGCACCCTGTTGGTAATCCTTGTAACTTTAATGCTATTGAACATCATAGAACAGAACCAACTTGTTTAATTGAAACAGCTGTTAAGATTCATTAATTCCTTTTAAACATGAAAAATCATAAGGTTAACATGGGAAACTCCAGAGCCACTGGTGCGGAGCCCGAAAGCCCGATCAGAATAAAAACTACTTAGTTTTCCTATTTAATGCCCAATGAATCGGTGTACCGAATTTCAGCGTCCTAGGTAAATGGGAAGTGGGAGAATTAGTGATGAGTGAGGACTTTGCCTTATATATATTTAGATGTGCTTAAAAACATGTTAAATTTCTTAATCTGTTGCACTTTTGAATGTGTGAATTGTGCTCTTAGGGTACGCCGAAAGCTGTACTATTAATACTATTGTCATTATAATACCTGGGGAATTCTTCCTATTGAGTTTTAACAAGAAGGATTTGAATTGGATACACATTTTTTTACCATCATTGTCCTTAAAAATGTCGTTACTGAATACAACTCAGCAACTTAATGTATACAATAAACCAACCTTATACAATAAATAATGTTAAAAGGAAAAAATATTTAACCGCCAGCCAGAAATCTACGGACCCTGTAGCAACATCTCGAAAGCAACATGGACTTAGGGTTCTCTTGAATCTAAGCTGGTCTTTGTCTAACTTAACTTAAGATCAATGGGTAGACTATTGAACAGTTTAATTCCGTTGTACAAGAGGTGATGTTTAAAAAAGGTCGTGGAGTGTTTGGGAATTTTACAATTGATCGCGGAGCGCAAGGGATAAATGCAGGAATGAGAGTCGGCATGAAACTTGGAAAGGTTTTGCCTGACAAATGTCAGCATCTCAAGGATGTAGATGGAAGGAAAGGTTAAAATTCCAGATTAGCTAAAAACCTCCTTGCAAGAATGGCGACGAGGGAGAGAGAAAATGGTTCTTACTGTGTTCTTCTGAAGCCTAAACAAGAAAAGTGTTCTTTGATTTTCAGCAGCAGTACCCCAAATCAGCAGAGCATATGAAAGAAAAGCACATCACTTCCGTGATCACCGGCCAATCTTTATTTTTTTTTTATATTTTAAATTTGATTCCTTGAAATATACAAGTCTCACTTTGTTTGTTGTAAATATAATTTTCTATTTAAAAATTTAATCCACCAACCGCAGCCATGGTAAGGTACTTACTTTCCGTGTCCGGAAATCAGACTTCGCTTTTCCAAAATCGCATGTAAAAGATCATCTATAATGTGCAAGACTGGTCTAGGCGTGGGCAGATCAGAAGATGGCCAGGATTCTAACAGCACCACACGCGCACAAGATGTTTTCTTCGTTTGGTAAGAGACCCCATTTCTGCACGTTTGTCTTGCATTTTGGTACCTCGACCCTAATTCGATTTAGGGTCTTCCACACCGTATAATGAAGGCCTCCACCAGGAGCCAGTTCCTCCATGGCTGGTATGGGAGGGTTAGTCAACGTGGCCTCCCACCTTGCTACCCGATTGCTTGAGAGTGATCCATCCAGGACTCGTGTCCGTGATAAAAAGCTCTTTCTGCACCGAAGCCGTCGCTCTGCAGGTTGGTGGCCGTGTAATGAGTGACGAGGGTCTGTCTCTTGCTTAGTCCTTTCTGCGTCGGCAGCGACATCACGTCGGATTGATGGAGAGGCGATCCCTATGATAGGATAGAGTTTGTGTGCTGGGGTTGGTTTCAAACACCCAGTTACAATCCGAGCCATGTCGCAAACAATTCCCACAGTCCGACTGCAATGTCAACCTTTTTTGCATGTGACGATGCATTCCATACTGGTTCAGCGTACTCCGCAGCCGACACACTGAGCGCTAAAGCTGAGGGTTTGAGGACATTAGCGTTAGCACCCCAGCATCTGCTGGTGAGCTTCCTGATGACATTATTCCTCGCTGAGACTTTACCTCTTGTCGCAATACATGGTAAGGTGCACTTTCATCATTTTGTCTATGTTTAATAAAGCCACCATGCAAGTTCATCATAAGGACCACGGTATATAAGTATATATATATACTTAATAATTATGGATTGGTTTAGTCTAATATTGGTAATAATGCATAGTTATAAATTAAAGTATATATAATAACAAATTTAATCGTGTCTTCTACTGCCATAAATATATATTTTGAACTTCTTTCAAAGAATAAATCATTTATTCTATGGTTCTATAACTCGTTATATCCAATCTCTGCTCGTCTGTAGTCTGTACTAAATCTGATGAGTCACAAAAAGAGACCCATGCTGTCACAGCTGTCAGCCAGAGCGAGAGCAACCAAAAACCAAACCAAGCCAGAAGCCGAACCAAACCCAAAAACCGATAAACCCTTAAATGTTAAAACAAAACTCGTCAGCTTCAACGAATCCACTGTAACTTATTGTGGTGTTTTAACTTAAATTTAAGCATTACTTAAAAATTTGTGGATTTAAGAGTTGTCACAAGTTATTTCGAATAAAGGAAGTGGAGTGAAGTGTGTCATAATTTGTATGCCGACGTCAAGAAAGCTAGCTGTTTAGAGAGTTAGGAGCCGATTAGGCTCACGATTGTTAGAAAATGGATAGCAAAGGAAGAAAAGTAATCGTATGCGATAATGGCACTGGCGTGAGTATCTAAAAGATTTTAACATATTATATTCTAGGCTTAGGGAGGTTAGGCCTTATATATCTTTCCATTTATCATTAGTAGGCCTAGCCCTAGCTGCAATTTTACTGAGAAATCCTAAGTTACTAGGCCTAGGCTAGAATAAACTGCCAACACAGTGTGCCCTTGTGTAATTATAATTTCCATTGAATGTGTACCTAATAATTTCTGCTTAAGTCGTTTTTAGGCATTAGACCTAAACTTACGTAAGTTTATCTATTCCAAGTTTCGTTAATTAAAATTTAACATAAGCCAACCCTAAGTTACTTTTAATTTACTCAACGCAGGGGCGGCGGAAAGATTTTTGTTAGAGGACAGAAACCTATGGTGGTGGTCTAAACTTAGACCCGGGGGGTCTGGAAGTAGGCCTTGTAAAATATTAAAGCCTTAAAACATTTGTTTAGGCTTAAAATGTCCTGAAGAACATTCTTCTTCAGGCAGTAGGCCTAACAAAGAGAATTATACAATTTAACAAAGACACTACCTACTCTGTCCATTGTAAAACTAGGCCTATATAAGTTAGGCTACCGCAGCCTTAAGTTAATACCCACACGTCTCAAACAAACATAAAATGAAGTTACTTGTGTCCGAAATTCAGTCTTTGAAATTCCCGAAAACTGCACAGCGATTTTCCTCCGCCTTCAAAATGGCAATTGCTTATCCTGACGTCTTTGCCACAAATGACCCGCCTCTACAGGTGACCCTTGATTTTGTTGGCTGCGCAACCTCTGTCAGATTCCTGTCCGGGTGTTCATATCTGGCGATGGCCATCTTCTCCACTGACAGTGTCTCCAAATAGGTAAGTGCCGGTGCTCTCTGTCAAACACCCGACCCATCTCCCTCTTTCTTCCTCGTCTTCTTTTCTCGGCCTGCTCAGGTGTCAGGTGCTCTTACCCCCTCTTTCCACCTGCCGCCCTGGAGGCTTTTAGAGTCGGCTTTGGGGGTGCCGCTCTCGCCCTGCTTTTTCCCAGCATCCTGGTTTCCGGAGGATCTGGCCTCGCAAGGAGCAGGGTTCAGGTGCTTGGCAGCCTACGCCAACCTCCTCTCACTTCTGGATAGCATCTTTTCGCCTTTGGCTAAAGCATCCGCTATCCTCCGTCCCTGACTATCACCGGTTTAAATTTAGAATTGCATGCTTTTCACACTGACAGCTGTATGTTGCAACTCGCCCCTGGAAAGTCATTTTTTTCGTTTCTTTCCGGTCTCCGCAAGATTGTTGTCATTGTCAGATTTCAGTAGACCTTCCTCCTTCAATGGGGTTATTTTTTAACCTTGGTTCCCCACTTGTGTTGTTCACAAATAAAACTTGTAGAAATTGGCGCTTACAGGTATGAAATAAATCAATATTATCTACCAACATTACCCTGATAATAAAAAACACCAAAAAAATCAACAAATGTTGTACCAATTTAATACAGAAATACTACCGGTATCTTTTGTTAATGGTCTTGTGTCACCTGGTATTGAATGTGTTAAATAAAATATTTGCCAAATTGTATCAGCAGGCCTAACTAACATCCAACACATCTTTTTAACATTGTTAAATGTGTTACAGTTTGTGAAATGCGGATATGCTGGATCGAACTTCCCTGAACATATTTTCCCTTCAGTGGTTGGTAGACCAATTATAAAAGCAGTAAACAAGATTGGAGACATTGAAGTTAAGGTAACTTGAAACTTAATTAATTCTGTGGATTTTTTAAAAATTCTAAACAGAGTTGTTCTATTTTCTCCCATAGGTATAGGCCCTACTATTAATTAATTATTACATCCAGTTCTTCCTTGTGATTTTCATAAACTTGTAATAACTTTTAGTGTTATTAGCTTCATTCCTGGAAATTTTCCAAATAGGTAGGCTATTTGATTATACTCACATTATTAATATTGGAAGGCTAAGCAATCGGCTTACCTATGTGACGTTAGTTGAAAGTTTCACCTTAAAGACTCAATGGGATTTAATCCAACAGGTGTGTCGGTCGGTAAACATACCTCTGTTTTACACATTTATCAGTTGATCGTTTTAATTGAAGTGCTTAACTTAAGCTAGTTTAATTCGACAGGCCAGTCAAAACCATAAGTGAGGATATTTAAATTGAAGGGAACCTTATAAATTTACTAACGGACCTACATTGAAACATTTGGGTCTCACTCACCCAAAGAATGGGCTGTTTCTTTTTTTGTCCACGCCATTGGAATTTTTTCAGAGGAGAAGAGAGAGAGAGTGTGTGTTATTCAAACGCGTTTGGGAAAGTGGTCTAAATCTATAGTTTGTAGTGGCGTTTTTCATCAAAAAGTTGAATTTCTTTGTTTTATAAAATATGAACTAAGTTTTGTGTATTGATTTTTTATCAGGTTGCGTTTAACCCAGCAAAGCCACTAAAAATTTAGTTTGTTTACTATTACTTTGATACAATTTTTAATTTTATTTTATTTACAGGGATATTGTGTGAGAGTAAGGAACTTAATGTGTAAGAACAAATGCATGTGTAATGTTTTTCATGGAGCCTTCTTTTACTAACACCATTAGTTTTTAATCAATATTTTTTTATATGCTTGGTAATAATATAAATTAGCATATACATTTTTTGTAATAGGCCTAACCAATTTTAATAGGATGTGATCAGTTTGGTAAATTTTTACAATTTACTCAGCTTAAAATAAAAATGTGTGCGACAAGTTAAACTATGAGTTAGAATAGGTCTTCAAGAAACAGGTATGCTTACATTTTTTCAGTGGCTAACTCAATTTAGATAACAAAAAATAGCGTTTGTGTGGGCCTGTACATGCAAGTGTTAGTTTACTCTATTTAAGTACGTTGCTCAATAGCCTTTTACAGTTAACTAGCCGACCGGTGCGAAACATTCACTCTGAATCCTTCTGAAATCCCACTTACACAACATATAGTTTATACTGCGTTGTAAGTGCATCGTTGATTTAAGTAAGGGTCTACTTAAGGAATAGATTTAATTTTACATTTTAGACACCTAATTGACTTTTTCAAAATACAATGATAAGTTATTTACGTTTTTACATGTTTACAGGAAGTTGCAGGATTTTTTAAAGTTAATCTTTGAAGTAATAATTTATATCTATACCCATACAATCTAACATAAATTAATAAGTGAATAATAATTGTGCGTACTATCTCAGGAATTCAAATGCCTCCCAATTTGTCATTAACCAACCACATTACTGTCATTAAAAGAAGGAACTCAAATAATACTAATGCGAAACTTAAATCCACCCAATCTGTGCAACGGAACCAGACTGAAGATTACCAAAAATGACAGCAAACTTGATCGAAGCAACAATCATCAGTTTAAAGGAGATAATGGTCTTAATCTCAAGAATATCAATGATTTAATCCGAATTACCCTTTGAATTCAAGCGACTACAATTTCCTTTGCGTCTTGCTTTCTTTCGCAATCACCATTTTAAGGCACAAGGGCAGTCCCTGACTATCACCGGTTTAAATTTAGAATTGCATGCTTTTCACACTGACAGCTGTATGTTGCGTGCTCTTGTGGTGGTAGGTACGCCTAAAAACTTATATTTATACACCTAATGAAAAAACAAAAAACATTGTTTATCCACTGGCAAGTAAATTAAATACACTATTTTTGTTTTTGGTATACATTTTTATTATTTATCGTAATGAACAAATTACCGTTTAAAATAATAGTTGTTAGTGGAGCAACGAGCACCGGGTAACTGCTAGTAATGTTTATAAAATATTATTTAATTAGTAGCTAAGCTACACCACTACAATCTTCATGAATGGTAAATTTCTTTTTACTACGATCATTTTTGTGTATTTGAATGAATATTTAACAAAGAAACAAGAAATGTGCTTACTCTGTAGGTTTGCTGCAACATCGACTTTCATTCTAACAAAATAACAGTTTGGATTTTGATAATTTTTATTCAAACCTTTGGAAATAATAATATTTAGATATTAATAAATTGTTTGTGTTTGCTGTAATCAAGGTTTCGCCATATTTTTTTGTGCTATAGTGTGAATATACAATTTATATCATATCACATTGATTGTGAAAGAATCTTTTTGTAACAAACTAATCTTAATGCACATCTGCCTTCTTATCGTAGTCAATCTTGATTATTATCTTTTTTTTACTTACATGCATGATTTCTGAATATCTAAGCTCAGTTGAAAGCTTTCAATAAAGTATATATCTTATAATTATTTATATGAAACACATTATAGAAAATACTAGAATAATAATCTAGCCTTTGGCCAGCAATTGCATTTTTCCACCACACTAATGTTTTGTTTGGTTCATGAGGGGTTGAAGGTGTCAAATTTGGGGTTCCCCATTGTTTACCCTAAAAACATGATATTTCACAATTTCTTACCAAATCCCAATTTGCAGAACTCAAAAAATAAATAATTTATGTATTGAAGTGTGATTATTTGCCTAGTGGTTACGGAACGGATATAATTAAAAAAACTGTAAATTTAAAATCCCCATGTTTTTTTATGGTGAAAAGTACTCCTAATAATTATACCGTAATTGAAATAGAAAATAAATGTGACAAATTTAAAGGAATATTTTATTAGCAAGCCCTAATTTAAATGGAAATTCACTTAGTGTGCAGGTTTGCTGCGGCAGGGTATTTTATTTTATCTTTACATCCCCCAAATTTACCACCCTCAAAATTACTATGCAGGTCTTTGTGTGGGGATATATTATTTTAAGTTTATATTCAACTTTTAAGGTAATTATCAATGTTCAATCATGTTGCCAATTGCTTTTTTATCTTGTAAAAAGAAAATCAAAAGGTTTTGTGTTGTGCTGCCTCTAAGGAGCTTCCAGTAAGTCAATTCAATATCAGTTTGAGTTTCGCCTGCAAATTTGTTTTCAATTCTATTTCTAGTTAAAGAATGTTCCTGTTTAGAAGCGTTATGATTGTGATACTTTGGTTAGACTTTTTGTTTGGCTAAGCTTTCTAGTTGGGTCTAAATTTGAAAAAAAAAACTGTATGCCTAAAGGCCCTCAGTTAGTAATTAATTTTCAGTTTCGTTATCTAGGAACTTTAATTTTTTTTTAGAGAGAGATGAGGAACATAACATTCAGTTGTTAGTTATTTAAATTAATCTTTTGTTTCTAAATCTCACACATCCCAAATGCGAACGGTTATAGGTATTACATTATTTTGTAAACTCAAAATATTAACAGATTTTTAGACTTTTAAAATGCTGTAATAACCAGCCATTCTCGTTAATAACCTCCTTATCTTAGTCAGTCTTAAACAAAGACAGTGCGTTGAAATGAACATCATTTTGGTGTTTTAGTAGACCTATCTGTTCATCTGATAGCTGTGGCGCTTGGCTTCATAATTTTATAATCTTTAAACATGAAGTTCCACTTGAGGAATCAAGTTCTAACTAATAAAAAATGTACTATAAAAAATAAACACACCTTTACAACCAATACAATATATTTTCAATACATGGAAAATTGTAATTAAATTTACAACTCATTAAAATTAAAACACTTTGATATTTCTCTAAAACGCTACTAACCCTTTCAGATTCAAATTTATTTTAAGTAATTTTTTTTTTTAAGATGGAGCAGGCATTCAATATATTTATTAAAAGAATCAAAATTTTAGTACTATCTGTAAATTTAGATTTATTTTTCTTGTAATTTTCTGTATATTAAAAGCATTTTAAAGAAAAATTGTAAAAAGTTAAACACAATGATAATCCCAAAAATGTGTTAACATTTTAACAGACTTAAACATTCACAACATTAATTTTTCTTTCAGTGCTATGCAACGATATATCATTGTGCCCCTTTTCCCCGTGTGACAAGTCTAGCACTTTTCGGATGAAATAATTAATAAACTATAGCATTTTTTGGGTAGTTACAAAAAAAATCTAGCATCAAAAGGCTTAAAGGCAACACTGTAGTCCTTTGGCATCAATTCTAATAATTAACGTAAACTTCAGTTATTTACCTCTTAATTATTGTAATCTGCATTCAAATAGCCTGGTTTTCATATTAATGCAACCATTCCTTGCAATTTCAATAGTTAAAAATAGTTAATCCAGCACAGTTATTCTTTCATATTAGCCTATTTTATTTTCATAAAAATGTAATTTTTTTTACTTAGCTGGCATTTTAAATTTTGTAGTAATCTTCAAGATTCTATTTTTTTCTTCAAAGAAATGTTTGTTACTACTTGTTGTTGTACTATATTGTTTCAGTAAAACGAAGAGAGGCAAATTCTGTACTAATATTGAAATATATTCCAATTTTGTACTAATATTGAAAATAAACTACTATTTATTTCTTTTATCACAAAACTATCAAAATACACAATTAATTTTTCACAACTTTAACAATTCACAGTTTTCTGAATATTGTAGAAGGATCATGTTTAAATAATTATTACTTAAAAGCGATAATTATAAGGAATTTAATATACAAAATGTTAAAAATAATTTTAGTGGGTATACTTAAATAGGATTACATTTAATAGATGTACAATTTTTGAATTAACATTCTAACCTAATGTTTGATATAGTCGATAATCCGACTCCTTCATAGTCCAAAATTCTCGATAATCAGACCCTGTTTTGATAGAATCTTTACATAACTGGATTTAATCTAGGTGTTCTCACTAGAATCGTGTCTGGTACAATTCCGCGGTGTTGATAGTACAGTACAGTAAATAGTATCGATTATCGTTTGATAACTAGCTAATTTAACCTAAGTAGCCTATTTGACTTTTTTCCGTTACAATTTATGCAATTAAGGTAGGTCTAATTGAATTTAGAATGTTGGTTGTACTTGAATAAATCCAGGCCTCACGAGACAGCCTGCTGTAAACCAGAGTCTGTAAGCAAAATAAAATAGTTTTTTATTCAGTAAGCATTGCTTTTTTTTAATTATACTTACACTGATTAACTGTAATGCCTAGGAGTCAAGGAGTAGGCCTACAATAAGGCTTTATAAGTTTACCCTTCTTAGCTTATTGGTTAAATTTGGTGTTATTTTCATCAAACTGAGGTATTTGGTAGTCTGACACCTTCCAGGTCCCATAAGTGCAGTGTTATTAAGAGGCAATTGTGCTGTTTTTCTTATTTTATTGGTCAAATAAAGTGTTAAGGTTTACATTATTAAATCTCCTCTTTAATATACAAAAATTTACCTTGTTTAAAATTCTGTTAACATATTGTTTTTATAGGTAAAAGGCCTTTGGAGGAGTTGAATCATTCTTATACTTGTGGAGTTCATTCAGTGTTTCTTGAATGCTATTTGATCATTGCTATGAACTGCCTGGCATATTTTTTACGCACAGATAACTCGGCTCATTTTGTAGCATTACTCGTTTTACAGTTTATGTTTAAGATTATTTTTCATTTATTACTAATCCTAAAAGTTTTGATATCAAGTTTTTAATCAATTAAGCGTTTCAAGATTAATACTGTAATACTGCTGTAATGTTTTTAGGACTTGATGGTCGGTGATGAGGCCAGTAAGTTACGCTCGATGTTGGAACTCAGTTACCCCATGGAGAACGGAATTGTTCGGTTTGTAACTTTGCCTTAGCTTACATCATTCTCATGGTTTCAGCTTAATCATTTGGGTACAGTTTTCTGTTTGTTTGAGCATGAAATTCTGTTAATTATAACTTTTAGTGACAAAAATAAAAACTTAGCTTGTATATTCATTTTTTTACAATAAAATAATCCTTTTAACCTTTACGAGCTCTACTGGGCTTAGAGATTACATTAAAGATTTTGCTTAGTTTGCAGGTTGCTGTTGTGGTGTAATTTAAATAAAGCATTTGTTAGAACAGTTTTTTTTTTTTTTTATTGCCTTTGGATAAATGATTATTTTAAATAAGCAGGTTTGTGTTGATCTATTTCAGTAATTGGAAAGACATGTGCCACGTTTGGGACTACACTTTTGGACCTGAAAAAATGAACATCGATCCAAAAGAATGCAAGGTTTTGTTAACGGAACCTCCCATGAATCCTATAAAGAACAGGGAGAAAATGATAGAGGTAAGCTTTCTATGGTATTCATCTTTTACAGCAAGATTCCACTAAATTTACCATGTATTCTTGGTTGAGAATAGTCTCTAAAAATTTGGATGTACAGTAATCTCAAACTACAAAATTGATGACTTGAAAATATTTTAATAAAAGAGCTTAAAGTACTATTATACATGTAAATTTTTAAATAGGAAGAGCAAAGGCAGGTGGACTTTTTCTGGACTTTATCTAGGCCCATATCACGGTATGAGGGCCATGTCGTCATCTGCTCCATTATATTCCATTGGCTAAGCCGAATCAACTACTAGCACCACGGCAGACAATTCCTGTTGCCAGCTAATTTTCCAGTCGTTTTGAATTTTTGATCGTGGATTTAACCTGGGTTTCTTTTAAACTGCCTGGTGCAGTCAAAAGGGGTTTTTACTGCTTAACTAACACAAGAACCAAATTCAATATTCTTTCAACTATGCAACGATTAAAAAGAGTAGATCTTGTGTGCAAGTCTATCTGCTTCTGGCTAGGACCCTTTACCAAAAAAAGAATAAAATAGTTACATGAAACAATTAGTTTGATAGCATATTTCTAGATTTAAAAACACAGAACTATGCACAAGTTAATATCAATGTAGTGAAAATTGTTATTGCAAAAGAATGTGATATTTTCAGGTGATGTTCGAGCAGTACCAGTTCCACGGAGCTTACATCGCCATACAAGCTGTGCTGACGTTGTACGCGCAGGGTCTGTTGAGCGGAGTAGTGATAGACTCTGGGGATGGTGTGACTCATATCTGTCCTGTGTATGAGGAATACGCTCTGCCTCACCTCACCAGGAGACTTGACATTGCTGGCAGAGACATCACCAAGTATCTTATCAAGGTGAGTAACCCGATTGTAGTGGTAGTAGACTCTGGTGACACCACATGGACAGGCTTCTACAGTCGTAAAGTGACCTAGAGTTAGTATCAGCACTTAACCCCCAAGGTGGCGCTTGTGGAGTTTAGCTCCTTACGTTAAGATTTTGTCCATAAAACTAGAAATGTTTTCACCTGGTCGTTTCCGGCTCCCTACCTGACACTCCATATTCCTTGATTTCCCCAAAACAATGTTTATACCCATGCTTCCCCTAGATTCAATCTGAGATGGGAGTTAGTGAGTGTGGTTTTATTTTCAAGTAATGGTTATTTTCTATTAACATATAATTGCTTTGGTTTCTTATCACTTTGGTTGGAATTTAACTGCAAAAATGACGTGAAATCAAATTCGATTGAATAAATTTGTATGGTTATGTTATGCGGACTCTCGCGTTTTATAACATAAGCGCCCGCTCAAGGGTAAACCCTTCTGTGACATCTCATTTAAGTAGGGAAACATTGCCATTGTAATATGAAGTAGGAGATAGGCTGAAGCTCCCCTTTTTAAGAGTAAAGTAAGCTCACTCTTCTTACAACTTTAAAATTGGTTGCCGTTGACACTCCGAGGTTTGATAGCTGAAGAATAAGACAACCAATATTACCAGAGACGGGCGGTTTAGATAGCATATGCATGGAACAGGTTCACCTTTATGAGGAGGAACTTATTGGTAGACTACAGGTATTTATCAGGTGATTGTACTGTAAGGCATTGGCGTAAATAACACCCCTACAGCCTCCGCTGTGAGGAGGGCACTGGGGTCTTAGGGGGTGCCGAAGTCTGACTGTTAACGCTCACCACAATTGGGGAAAAAGGAGATGTTGTTTCGGTGACTGCGGGAGACGATGATAATGTCCTTAAGACTGAAAAAGATATTCAAGATTTTATGACATTGTTACCGTGACCAGGGGAGATGATAATGTTATATACAAGACCAAAGAAGATATAAAAGATTTTGCTCCAATCGTAGAAAAAGATAAACCTGTTTCCGTGTCCACGGGAGATGAAAATGATGAGCTACAAGAGTACAAGACCAAAGAAGATACTGTATTTAAGATTTTAGCACAGTCGCGGAAAAAGATTATGTTGTTTCCGTGACTGCAGGAGACAAAGACGATGTCTTAAAGTCCTCAGAAGTTGTACAAGATTTTCCGCGACCATTTTTGAAATGTTATAAATTAAAATGGAATTTGACATGTAATTGACAGTGCATTGCTCTTTCTGGTTAAGATACTTGACTCTGTAAATGGAATGAATCATATATTTCCCATCAGTACTCTTTGCCACTTATAAGTGCAGCTGGGTTTTAGAGGTAAGATATCTTTTAGGGTGTGTATGTAATCTAGGGTATGCTAGCATCATTCATCAGATACTTAGTAAAATTCTGTGTTGATAATGGATTCATATGTCTCAAACCTGAAGCAAAATTTGAAAGTGAACTAACATCTTTAAACCAGCCATAAGAATTATTTTATCAATCAACCTGAAATACAATTTTATTTTCAGCTTTTGCTACTGCGAGGATATGCGTTCAACCACACGGCTGACTTTGAAACTGTGCGAATTATGAAGGAGAAGCTGTGTTATGTCGGATACAACATAGAAACTGAACAGAAATTGGCATTGGAAACAACAGTGTTGGTGGAACCTTACACGGTAAGTGTAGAATATCAATAGATCATTGACCAGTTCCTGCTGCAGTATTTATCACTATATTTGCTCAACTGATGGTTGTTGTTTCAATCCAGAGTGTCATTGATTCTGGACCTTAATTCAAACCTAACAAGCAACACGGCAGTGCTACAACAACCAATGAATAGGTTGGTACTAAAAAATTTCCTAATTCCAAGCAAATTTGCCATAAGTTCCTATCCTCCCGACTAATTGTCATCACGTTAGACGTCTCCCCCAACCAAAACCCCAAATTCCTACCTGTCTCCTGAGTTGGGGTTATTGCTGGTAGTATCACATTTTCGTTAAATTCTCGCTTATTTGATGGATCCAAGAAATTCTTGCATATTCGTGATCGGCTTGATATTGCGGCTAATTTGAGTACCACATGACGTGTTTGGGTAAAAAAACATTTTTTGGCAAATTTCCGGTTTCTGGTCGTTTTTTGCGGAAAAAGGACGTCATTTTCAGAATCAGAATCTTTGTCGAATTTAGAGTAAAATGAAAGAAAAAAACCCAGTCCTTCAATTTGCGTCTGCCGGCCAGTCCAAAGATATCCAAGTTTACTACCTACGCCTAGCAGACAGGGAGCGTTTTGTTTACGTTATTTGGTTATTCATTATTTTTACTGATATGTGACCAGCAAGATGCAACATGTTATGCTTTTGCGTACCATATTTTAATATTGACAATGCAGCACACAACTATTGAACAGAAAAGGTTAGTAAACATAAACAGATTACGCCACTGGCCCAATGTCTAATAGCTGTAACAACTGGTTTGGATGTTTTTTGACAGTTCTATTTAAATATGAATAAAAACGTGTTTACTTTTGAGACAGTGACATCATTTTGTTTATGTTTATGACCCATACCGTTTTTGTTATAATGTTTTTGATGTTTTTACACCATGGGATTTGTCTGCTCTGTTACAGTTACCAAACAACCTAGTTATCAAGTTGGGAGGTGAGAGGTTTGAGGCTCCGGAAGTTCTGTTCTAGCCACATCTCATTGATGTTGTTACACCAGGTGATTTGTCTGTTCTGTTACAATTGCCAGACGGCCGAGTTATCAAGTTGGGAGGTGAGAGGTTTGAGGCTCTGGAAGCTCTGTTCTAGCCACATCTCATTGATGTTACACCAGGTGATTTGTCTATTCTGTTACAGTTGCCAGACGGCCGAGTTATCAAGTTGGGAGGTGAGAGGTTTGAGGCTCCGGAAGTTCTGTTCTAGCCACATCTCATTGATGTTGTTACACCAGGTGATTTGTCTATTCTGTTACAGTTGCCAGACGGCCGAGTTATCAAGTTGGGAGGTGAGAGGTTTGAGGCTCTGGAAGCTCTGTTCTAGCCACATCTCATTGATGTTGTTACACCAGGTGATTTGTCTATTCTGTTACAGTTGCCAGACGGCCGAGTTATCAAGTTGGGAGGTGAGAGGTTTGAGGCTCTTGAAGCTCTGTTCTAGCCACATCTTATTGATGTTGTTACACCAGGTGATTTGTCTGCTCTGTTACAGTTACCAAACAACCTAGTTATCAAGTTGGGAGGTGAGAGGTTTAAGGCTCCGGAAGTTCTGTTCTAGCCACATCTCATTGATGTTGTTACACCAGGTGATTTGTCTATTCTGTTACAGTTGCCAGACGGCCGAGTTATCAAGTTGGGAGGTGAGAGGTTTGAGACTCCGGAAGCTCTGTTCCAGCCACATCTCATTGATGTTGTTACACCAGGTGATTTGTCTATTCTGTTACAGTTGCCAGACGGCCGAGTTATCAAGTTGGGAGGTGAGAGGTTTGAGGCTCCGGAAGCTCTGTTCTAGCCACATCTCATTGATGTTGTTGCACCAGGTGATTTGTCTATTCTGTTACAGTTGCCAGACGGCCGAGTTATCAAGTTGGGAGGTGAGAGGTTTGAGGCTCCGGAAGTTCTGTTCTAGCTACATCTCATTGATGTTGTTGCACCAGGTGATTTGTCTATTCTGTTACAGTTGCCAGACGGACGAGTTATCAAGTTGGGAGGTGAGAGGTTTGAGGCTCCGGAAGTTCTTTTCTCGCTACATCTCATTGATGTTGTTGCACCAGGTGATTTGTCTATTCTGTTACAGTTGCCAGACGGCCGAGTTATCAAGTTGGGAGGTGAGAGGTTTGAGGCTCCGGAAGCTCTGTTCTAGCCACATCTCATTGATGTTGTTGCACCAGGTGATTTGTCTATTCTGTTACAGTTGCCAGACGGCCGAGTTATCAAATTGGGAGGTGAGAGGTTTGAGGCTCCGGAAGCTTTGTTCTAGCTACATCTCATTGATGTTGTTGCACCAGGTGATTTGTCTATTCTGTTACAGTTGCCAGACGGCCGAGTTATCAAGTTGGGAGGTGAGAGGTTTGAGGCTCCGGAAGTTCTGTTCTAGCTACATCTCATTGATGTTGTTGCACCAGGTGATTTGTCTATTCTGTTACAGTTGCCAGACGGACGAGTTATCAAGTTGGGAGGTGAGAGGTTTGAGGCCCTGGAAGCTCTGTTCTAGCCACATCTCATTGATGTTGTTGCACCAGGTGATTTGTCTATTCTGTTACAGTTGCCAGACGGCCGAGTTATCAAGTTGGGAGGTGAGAGGTTTGAGGCTCCGGAAGTTCTGTTCTAGCTACATCTCATTGATGTTGTTGCACCAGGTGATTTGTCTATTCTGTTACAGCTGCCAGACGGCCGAGTTATCAAGTTGGGAGGTGAGAGGTTTGAGGCTCTGGAAGTTCTGTTCTAGCCACATCTCATTGATGTTGTTGCACCAGGTGATTTGTCTATTCTGTTACAGTTGCCAGACGGCCGAGTTATCAAGTTGGGAGGTGAGAGGTTTGAGGCTCCGGAAGCTCTGTTCCAGCCACATCTCATTGATGTTGAAGGTCAAGGTAGGTAATAGCAAACTTTTGGGATTCACTTTAGTAAATTTATCATTTGTTAATTATGATTTAATATTGTTGTCTTGACGTAACATGTTTTATTCATTAGCCACCTTAAAGAGTTAGTTTTCAAGCATTTAGGCCTAAAATGCTAGTTACAGACAGTGATGTAATTTATTTAAGAACTATACATGTTTAGATTAGTAGCTATTTAAACACTTGCTTGAAACAGGTAGTGCTGAACTATTTGTTTTCTAAAGTTGATACTTTGCAAAATAAATAGAAGAAACTTGTTGGGTATAAAACATCTAACCCTGTTATTGTGATGTGGTCAGGTATCGCAGAGTTAGTTTTTAACACTATCCAGGCAGCAGACATAGACATTAGAGCAGAGCTGTACAAACACATTGTACTGTCTGGGGGCTCCACCATGTATCCTGGACTGCCAAGCAGGCTAGAGCGGGAGATCAAACAACTGTATTTGGAGCGAGTGTTGAAAAATGACATCTCAAAACTCAACGTAAGTTATCAATTCTAAAATTAAGCAGGTGTGATCAAATCTATGTGGCAGTCATAGAGGACAGCCGTGGCCAGCTCAATATTATCCCAGGACAAACTAAAGTTCAGTAGAAATCCAATCATCCGGTTCCTCAATTATTTGGATCAGCTACAAGAAAAACAAATAAATGTAGCCAAAAAATTAAGTTTATTGCTCTTTTGCAGTACCGGTAATCCATTAGCCTACATATTTTAATGTATCCCAAATGTGTCTATGCAGCGAATCTATTGCAGTGTTGTATTAAGTGGTGCGATGAGTCATCTGCCACTGTCTTGTATCAACTATCTAGATGAGGTCCAATTGATGTGGAGTTATATTATACTTACTTGTTTGAATTAGGGATGGACGGGATTGAATTTTTAGTTCAGGACGGGATGGGACCGAATTAAAATTCGGGGGATTTTTCATACTTTATCAACTTCCTTTTAACACCAAATCTAAGTGTACATTAAATCGAGAACTCTCTTGCTAAAAGAACACTAGAGAACTACTCACAAATCTCCTGTCAGGTGTGAGATAAGATTCTTACCTCCTACGAGCCTTACCAAGTAGCTATAGGAGGAAGGAATGACTGGGAACAGGGCAATCTCATGATGGGCAGAGCATGCCTGGTATTTTACTCAGCTGGAAGTCGGAAGGATGAGAGGTTAGGGGTGTATGGTAACAAAACCAACACCTCGCTAGCCCTGGGAAGCATAGTGACAGTTTTTCAATCGGAGGTCCTAGCGATTGAGTGCTGTGCGAAAACCATCCTAGGTATGCTAACTACGGAGCTATACACAAAAACGGTCCTTACTTAAAATACTGCCCTCCTATGTTATATGACTCATTTAAATATATCTTATATCTTAGCTTGTGGAAACCAATTCTCTCAGGAAAATTATTTTTTTGTGCCGAGAAGGACACTTCCTCATTCAGTGTAAACATGCTATCCCAACAAAAACTCGCTAACATTTCCTACAATTAATTTTTTTCTTAGGTTTTCTTACTAAAGTATAGTACTTAAAGGTATACTTCTGAAGTGACAATTCCTGTTTCACCTACCAAAAAGACCTTATTGGTAAATTCAAATTGTAATTAATTGTATGTGTTTGTGGTTGACAATAGAAACTGAAAATCAAGATAGAAGATCCACCAAGACGGAAAGACATGGTGTTCATCGGAGGTGCGGTGCTTGCCGAAGTGATGAAAGATAAACCAAACTTCTGGATCACCAGTCAGGACTATCAGGAGATGGGGAAAAATGTGCTCAACAAGTTAGGGCCAAGATCAAGCTAACTCGTCTGATCTATTTAACCCCTAATCTATTTTACCTTGATAATCATACTAGCTGTACCCGCGGGCTTCGCCCCGTTTAACTTCATAAGTATTCGCATGGCTCATTCACGTCCTGGTTGAAGTTCGTTCGCTACGCTCACTCACCTTTAGGTTGGAGCTCGTTCGCTGCGCTCACTTGCCTTCAGGTTAGCTCGTTCGCTACGCTAACTCGCCTCCAGGTTGAAGTTTGTTCGCTACGCTCACTCACCTTTTGGTTGGAAATTAGCTGTTGTCATAAATGTAAAAGAAATAATAGTGCTGCACCCTGTTGGTAATCCTTGTAGCTTTTATGCTATTGAACATCATAGAACAGAACCAACTTGTTTAATTGAAACAGCTGTTAAGATTCATTAATTCCTTTTAAATATGAAAAATCATAAGATTAACATGGGGAACTACAGAGCCACTGGGGCGGAGCCCGAAAGGGTTTTTGAGATAAGAATATGCTTTAATGTTAATCGGGAATGTGAGCTATGATCATGCCAAATTTCAGCCCAATCCGTCCAGTAGTTTATGCGTGATTGAGCAACACACACACAAACACACACACAAACACACACACAAACATACACACAAACTCACAAACTTTCAAATTTATAATATTAGTAAGATAAGATAAGATAAAGATAATTGCATTTATTTAAACATTGTCTATTGTACAGCAATAATTGGGATTGTGTTGAACTGAAATTGGATTTGCACAATCAAGTTAAATTAACATTTTATTTTTCCATTTTATTTTGAATAGGCTATAAAGAAAGTAGTAAATTAAAACCAAATGGATGTAAATTCAAATGGATTTACTGTTTTTACATCAATTATTTTATATATTACATTTATTTATTCTATTCTATGCATGTCAATCCTTCCAAAGGATTTTAGGTGATTCTGCTAATGTTTTCATCAAAGCTTCGTTGTTTCAGTATTTTACCTGTACTGTTACTACATGGTACTCCACTGCTAATAATGTATCTTATATTTAACATCCCCGAGATTTAAAAAAATTAAATTTTTTAATCTCTCCTCACAATTTACAAGACTAAAGGTCTTCCCAGACTTCTGTTTTGTGTTCTAATAAAATACAGCTTGTTGCCATATATTTCAGTGGTATTCATAATTTCAATTGCATTTAAAAGTTGAGCAGTTTGGGTAGATTGAATAAAATAAACATTGTAAATTGTGATGTCATGTAAAAAGTATTCCATAAAGAGACTAGATGTATATTTATTATTATGTTATTCATTCAGTTTTATCATTTATATTCATTTAAGATGATTTTGTATAATTATAATAATAAGAAATAAAGATTTATTGTTTTATTTGTGTGCATACTAATGAGAATTTTTCCGCCTTACATTATTTAAAAGAAAACTTTTGCTGTTAGTTGCTTTATGCCATTAGAATTCTTTGTAAATGATCAGTCCACAATGTCCACATGTTTTTATAGCAGGAGGATTGGTATAGTACTTAACTTTTTTGATAAAAAGAAATGAACTTAGGTGTGCTGTTCTAGAAGCGTTTTCAAGAAATTCCTTCAGGGCTCTGCCCCAGTGGCCTCTAAAGTCTCCATATATCTTTAGGGAGAAAAGATTTGCTTACATTTAAACAGATGGATATTTTTAAGGTTTTACTAGCTCGCTTTCTTGTCCGGTACAAATTTTGCAATAAATTTTACTTACCTCCCGATGAGCTAGAGACTTGAAACTTGAAACATAACTCACAAATGGATGAAAATGCAATATTATATCATTTCATTTTCATATTTCCCTTGGGCTACGCCCCATGGGCTTTTTTATTAGCTCGCTTTCTTGTCCGGTACAAATTTTGATATCGATTTTAAACTAACTTCCCGATGAGCTAGAGACTTTAACTATTTTGTTGAAGTTTTTAAGATTTGTTTATCAGAAACTAAAGAACAGTATATTATTTGATGTGTTCAACATCATTTGTAATCGAGTTTCATCCAATATTTTAGGCGATGGCATCATGTCTTCTTCTATCACTATACTTATAATATTTATAATGGGTGCTCAAGAGAGAAGAGAAGTGCTTGATAATTTCAATCATTTCCATCACTAGGCTAATAAAAATATCAATCATGCAATTTCAGATGAGAATATTGCTTTACAATCCCAGTTCACGTATTTGGTGAAATTGTTAAAAGGATTAGATTTTTATGTTTTTTCGTAGAGAAATTTTATGCATGATATCAGTGTTGATCCTTTTACTGGAAAGCCGAGTAAAGTCATTTGACAGTGTGAAGTGGTCCATTGTGTTTATTTTATTTATACTTGTATAGCAAAACACAAATAAGGAAAATTAATATTTATTTTTTCCTATAATTTTTCCCCGTTTTATGTCACAATTACGCCCGGGGAAGGGTTAATCATGTAAACCTAAGTGAAAGGAGATACAGTGGGAATTGTTTTCTTAAAAACAAATCTGACCAGCTGATTTAAAGCCAGTGCTGCCAACATTTCGCGAGCATACGACCTTGTCTGCATGTTGCGCTCACTATTTCGTGCCTTCATGTTGCAAATCTAAAAACATTGTCTCACTGATGAGCAAATTGGCCACTTTGCTTTCTCAAATCAGTGAGAGAACATCTACATTGTTAGGTAATTACTGTAGGAAAAGGTATTTTCTTGTTTATTAATGTTTAAAAGAAAAGTCTAGAAAGTTCAGAAATACCGAAAAGAGAACATAAACTATAAACACGAAATGACACGTTCGCTGCGGGTGGGTCAGTACTGACCCACACTACAGTGAATCAATATGTTGCTCAGTGCTAGCCTAGCGTCAGTCAAAGGTGGACCTACACCACGTTAGCGTGTAGTGTGACTTGCTTTGTTCACCGTTGAGTTGGTTCCCGCGTCTCGCTCCCGCCGTGGCGGGTGGGTCGGTACTGACCCACATTACTGTGAACGCCCCTCGCTTTGCTACTTTTTTGTGCTTTATGACGTCATATTCAATTTCAATTAATTTTTTAATTATTTTATTTCAATAATATTAACATTTTAAATCTTTTATATCTCTCATTTTTGTTTAATATTTAAATTTTGTATACTCCGGTTCTTGATGGGTCAGCACTGACCCATGTATATGACGTCACATTATGAAGTCATAATCAATTGATATACTATTTTATGTTGGTTATTTCATCCTAATGACTACATATATCTTTAGAACATATATTTTTAGTGACATATATAATGTATTCAGTGGCATTTCCATTTTTTTCTGACTCTGGCTCCTGATGGGTCAGTACTGACCCATTATTATGACGTCACTTTTTGACGTCATATTCACTTCCGATCGTATTATATAATATTGTATTTCAATAAGGACACAAAAAGGAATGTTATACAACAATAAAGTTTTTTAGCAATACGATTCGATTTTATAATTTCCTTTAGCAGTGAACGTGTTAAATCGTAGTTATAATAGTCAATCAGCTGCTCATAGTATTATTATCTTCAAGTGTTGCCAACCTATTTCCAAGCGTACACGATTTACGTGCATAATAGAACCACGCTGTTTTGTGTTGTTTCGTTGGAATCCTGATGTGCACCAAAGTATAAATATGCAGCAATTAGCAGCTTTCTGTACTATAAACAGTATAAGGAAGCCAACTTTGTCGGGTGACTGTAGGAAAGTAGGCTTCTTGCACAGATTATAGTACAGAAAGCCACTTCGGTGCACAGTTTTAACATTGTTGCACACCAGTATTCCAACCAAACGACAAAAAACACCTTGCTTTTATTATGCACGTAATCCATGTACGCTTGAAAATAAGTTGGCAACACTTCAAGGTATTACGACTACGATCAGCTGGTGCGCCGTTCCCATTTCGTTCATTGTTTTGATTTAACCTAACCTAAAAACGTGTTGTGCAGTTTTTGAATGACTGATTTATAGTAACCGAAGGAAAAATATAATGTGTAACACGAATGCAAACTGCATTTGCTGCACTCGAGAAACTTTCCACACTCACCTGTTACACAAATAACTATTTCCTAACTAACTAGCATAATTTCGAAAAAGCCCGGGAAAAATGTATAGATCATTCGTGTTTTAAGGTGAAATAGTATGGCTACATGGTAGTTCACCTAAGCCAACTTATTTTAAGCAAATTAGAAAAGAAGAAGAAGAAGCATTCGAGTTGTCAACTGTCAAGTTGTCGTCTGTCGTCTCGTCGTTCTCGTTGTCATGTCAACTTTATTCTGCTCAATTAACCATAAACAAACATAACGTACCTTTTTACCAAACAAACAAACAGTAAACACAAACATAACACACTAGTAAGGAAGGTTAAAAGTGACACATAATAAACTGATCCATCTGAACAGTGTTCTTTAATTTGTTGTTGTGACATTGCAAGGAATTTATTACAATTTTGTAACTAGGCTTATAAGTCTTTAGGTTGTTAATTGTTTATTGGTATAATGTGAAAACCTAAGCCTAGCTTAATATAGCCTATGGTTGGGGAACATGAGTTCAAGTTCAAACATCTCACTCCAAACTGAAATTTTGTACCCATTCATTTTGTACTAATGCTGTGAGTTTTGTTACGATTGCCAGTTTTTCATGTTATAAATAAAACGCATTAATAATATAGATATCTGAAGCAATGGAGTCACAACATGAAGATCTTTCAACCCCCGATAAAATTAGAGAAGCTTATGATTCTTTAACCAAAGAAGAAGTAAGTCATTAATTATCTGTGCTGGATCATAGTTAAGTTTCATTACTTAAAAGTAGCCGATTAGTACAGCTAGTGACAAACTAATTACCTTACTACCAAGGCTGCATTGTTGACCAGCATAGCTGGATAAACTGTGTCAACTTTTGAATAGAAAATTATATTTACAACAAACAAGTAAGACTTGTGTATCATCACAACAAGTAAGACGCTTCCGTATCTGAGTTGTCAAAAACAACTGAATGCAATTATTTGATATATTCATTTATTTCATTTGATATAACTTATAGTTTGGTTAGTTAGGTCTTTAACTAACCAAACACGATATATCAAATAAAATAATCGATATATCTATCGCTATTTTTATTCGGTTGTTTTTTACAACAGATACGAAAGTCTACCCCTAATATTTCAAAATAAAACTTGGCGGGTGACTACCGAGGTAATGTGCACTCCAAGTTACCATTTATCATCAATCACAATATATATCTTAACTTATCTTAATCTTAAATATAAGGCCTAGGCATATTCACTTTTTCATGCATGTCATCAAGGTCTAATCTACAGTAATAGGCTCCAGGTGGACCTAAATTATACCAATAACGTACAGTAGAACCTCAATAAAAAAGTCTCAAGGGGATTGGGAAAATAATTTTGTTATCAAGGTAATTTCGGCAGAGTTGCCACATAATATCTGTTCACCTGGCTTTTTAGGTGTTTTTTAGTAGGCCTAACCATAATTTTGAATTTTCCTTTTATCTCCATGCTCTTGTCTATAATAATTTAAAATGATGTCCTTATGCTGTTGCTGGATAAATATATATATATATTTAAGTAAATTGTTTTTCAGGAAGAAGTTAAGAAAGAGTTGGACATGCTTTTATCTCGTCATTGTCAGTTGGATGCCAAAGTAAGAGGAATCACTAAAGTCTTGCCTAATCTTCAGGTAATACATTCAGATGCATTACAGCTCTCTGAAATGATAACTTTCATTTCTACTTTAGCAGAGAACGTCAGTGCCAAAGTTCGACAGTTGGACAATGCACGGGTGAGTAAATTTCATGAGCAAGTCATAATTTGTAGGTAGAAGTATTTTTATTTAAGCTATTTATGTTTGAGTTTCTAGTGAACAAGTTAAGTGGCCATTCAAGCCTCGTGTACCAGCAGGTGCTTCAGTTGATCCTCTATACCTAATTCATTGCGCAAATACTTTATCTTTTGTTATATTGAGCCAATTTTAACGTTTTATTCGTCTGTGTTTAATGTGTTTAATTTGTACGTATATGGATTATTCAAATTTATAATATTTTTACTCCTCAGCCTACTATAAAAAGCGTGTGCCAACTCAAAGTCTTCATTGCTAATCCGTAGGCTACATTCTTTGTTCATGAATCTTCCTGTATGTCCAGGCCTATCTAGTAGGCTATTTTAGTCAATGATAGTTGGCCTTAATCTACTCTGTATAAAGTTTTATATTGTTTGTTAAAAACTTTATGGATTTTAAAATTAATTGGAGAACAACTAATTAAATAGTCAACATTGGAAATTTATTTTGGAGTTTATTGTTGATCTAAAATCATATCATTATAGGTTTAGATTAGGTAAAACGTATAACAAGATATATCACAACATTTTTTTTACTCAGAGCCGAGTTTCCGAGTGTCAACAGAGAGTGCATGACTTGTTAGACCTTCAGCTGTGTTCGGACGGAGTTACTGCAGCTCTGTCTGGTGACGACTATGAGAAGGCATCAGCTCATGTCCATCGTTTCCTCACCATGGACCAGAGCTTGTTAGAACAGACGGCAGACGACATGCAGCAAGGTTTGTCACTGTGTTCTACAAGTTTGGTTTTAACCAATGCTAGTTATATTTTAAACTATACAAAACATAAAATAATTGAGTCTTCTAGACTACTTCAAAATTGTTTATTAAAAATTTACCTTTTGCTTGGTAAAGTTTTGGATCAAATTGTATTCTAAACAGTGCGTTCATAGAATACCATTTTAGCTGCATTGTGAGAAAAGGTTAGAATATCTTTCAAGGGGAAAATGGAAAACATATTATTTAATGTTGACTTAGCTTCTGGATTATAGATTTATTGTAAACGCTTTAATGTTTTTAGTAGGAAGACTACTAATGGTTCAGTCTCTAAGAGTCCATTATTAGGTATTTCAGTCACATTAAACAAATGTTATGTACTTGATACTTGTGTCCTTAATCCTTGACTGACAATGTTGGATAGATTGCGTCAAAGGCACAAACTAGCATACTATATACATGTTTAAAACAAAAAACTAATATTTACATACTTCTTGCAAAATAAACACATAAGCCCTATTAATTGGGCTGTGGAGATTTTTTATATCCTAACCTATTGCTGCTGTTTTCAACTGACCTTCAGTGGCACTTCCTTTAATTCCTCTAATGGGTAGAGGGGTCTAGCAACCACATGACCGTGCAGTACTGCCCTGAACATTGCACTGTCCAAATCTCTCACTCTTTTTGGCAGCATATTAAAGATTTTGATTGTTGAGGAAGGGTAGCTTTTAAGAGAGTGGCTTAGCCATGGCAGATCTAGTTTTTGGTCCTTGCGAGTTCTATAGCTATGTTGGCTTTCCCTCTTTTCAAAACGGTGGAGGTTGTCTTCAAGGAGTAACAGAGTGCTTAGGACATATTGGCTGTTCACTGTTATTATTCCTAACCCCATAAAGAGAGGCCTGCAGTGTCCATTGTTGTCTGAGGATGTTATAACTCTTACAGCCTTCTTCTGTATGAGGAGTATGTCCTGAGTTAGAGGTGTGTGTCCCCACATTGCTATGCCATAGGTGACATGGCCATGGAATAGAGCGTGATACACATTTAATAGATAGGGCCTCGTGATGACGTATCAAAGCTTTCTTAAAATACAGAGTACTTGATATAGTTTAGTACATATACCTTCTATATGTTTATTCTAACTTAGCTTGGGGTCCAGCTAAAACGTTTCACAGCTTCGCCTTTTGGTACGTCAAGCTTAAGGGTGCACAGCACTGGCTGGGTTTTGTTCTCATTTGTCTTGGATCGGTTCAAATTGAACCAGTCTTTGGCCAGTTCCAGCAATTGGACAGCACAGATGGGTCGCCGTTTTTGAAAATTGGGATGGTTCTTGCTATTTTAAGGCAGTCCGGAAAAATACTATTGCTTGGACATAAATTATATGTTTATCAGGAAATTTAGTGGTTATACTATTTCATCTATAGGACACTTAAGTATGGAGCTTGTTGTTCATTAATATCTTGGCAAGTTGAGTCTTTAAAGCCTTTGACTATGCTAGTAGGTAGTTTTTCACTCACCTTTTTCCAATGGGTTAGTGAATGGTTCGACGAAAAATCGTCAAGTTGTCAATGGGGTCTTGATGCTGTAACAAAGGCAAATTAGAGATTATGTTGTCCGCTACTTTAACAAAAAAAATCATTTAAGTCATCAGGTGACGCCACAGCAATGGGGTCAGGATTTTGCTTGCGGTGTTCATTAAAAATCCCCCACAAGGCTTTACAGGCATTTGAAGATTCCAAGATAATTTAAACATTGTGTGCCTTCTTTTGCATTTATAATTTCAGAACTGTGGTGCTGTTTTATTTGAGTATAAAGTAGGAAGAAGCTTTTTTGATTTTTGTCATTTGCAAGTTTATAATGGTAATGAATTAGAATCATTTAAGAGCATATAGCTGAGGGTTGTCATCAAGCCGATGTGTATATTTTAATTGATTCCATCTACATCGGCTAGATGAAACATTCCTTTGATGTCCGAAACTGTAGCAGTATCTTACTAAATTTGGATCATCCGAGAGAAAAGACATCCAAAACCATATTGGAATACTCTCATACATGTACCCTGTCTAAACACCAAACGCCAACTATTTTACCAATGCTACATATGCCTTTTTAACACGTTCGCTACTGCAATAGTACACAAATTTTCTTTCATATCGACCAGCGACGCATATATGCTATAGCCGGTTTCCACCCATAGACTGCTGTCCCATATATGCGTCGTCTGGTCACATTAAAATAGACTGACAACGCATATTTGTGCCCGTGTTCCAATGTTATTAAAAAGCTTATATCTTCGAAACGGTCTATTTGAAGGCCGTGAATTCTCTTCAGTGGTCTACAGGGATATTTGTCGCACTTATGCGTCACTTGGTCTGTGGATATGATGATTAGTGACGTCATATGATAGCAGACTAAACTGTTTTTTACTTTGCTGCATCACTGGCCTGTTGTCTGTGTGTACTGTTAGCCAAGTGACACCCGGTCTATTTGTAATATTAAAATGTATACCTCGGTCTGTGGAAATGCCCGCAGGTGCTCATATGTGACGATCGGTAATGAACGTATTAAGCTTTCCTTATATGATGCAAAATGGATAAGGTTACCTTTGGAAATGGATTTCCTGGAGATTACAATATCATTCATTAAATTATGTTTATCTAGATTGTGCAACTGTCAGCAACTCCTTGTCTCTGCTGCGCAATGCTGCAGGTCAGCTGCAGAATATCATCACTCTGCGGTTCAATGAAGCTGTAGCCGCAGATGATCTGGCTTCGGTTGAACGGTTCTTCAAACTGTTTCCGCTGTTGAACATGCATGACTACGGTTTGGAGAGGTTCTCTGCCTTTTTATGCTCAAAGGTACGATTACTCAATTAGCCTATCTCTTTTACGCAAATCAAATCATTTATTGCTTACAGCAGTAGCTAGTGACTTTGTCAATACTACCTGGAAATTTAGTTCTGGCAAAGGAAAAGGTCATATTCTTATTAATTGTTATTACTTTTATTCATGGAAGAAATACTGCCTTTCCTTTGTTTTTTTCCATTAATTATTTCTGGCTGTTTTATTGAGTATTTTGAAGAAATTCATGGTAGTAATTTGTTGTAAATTTTATTCCCTTTCAGAATATTACATCCACTTTGGTCGATTTCCTCACCATTTTAAAGCTTATTTGTAAATAAGCTAAGCAACTTCCAAATTTATAGTTGTTAGAAAATACTGAATTAGAGATATTTTTGTTAAACTGTGAACACCTCAATGTATACTTCTAGTGGACCGATTTTGTTAATGACAGCTTATGCTTCTTAAAGTTTATTTGAATAAGTTGGTTTTATGTAAACTGTACACTAAGTACCGTACTGAATTATGTAATTTGTACCCTATCCAAGGTTCTATGTTTTGCTCTATTGGCCAGGGTCTTGTTCACTATCAAGATTATCGACTACACCTGTTGTCTCTAAATCATTAAAATCTGTTACATACTCCTCTCCACTCCCTGACAAAAAAGTCGAATAACACGATAGCTCTGAATCTGAAGGATAATTAGCATCAGTCAATGTCACTTCCTACTTCTCCAGAATCATCAACCAGCCCTTCAACATCACTTAACCTTCTTCTAATGCATTAGGTATATCACTACTGTTCATTTTTACCACTAAAACTTACCAGAACAGGGGCGGTCCGAGCCCCTGTCTGGAGTATGCCTTGGCGGAATTCCGCTGAAAGAGTTTAAAGCTCCCAAGCTTCTTGGGCTTCATTTCGATCCTGAGCTCTCCTTTTCTGATCATGTGAGTTACGCATGCCAGAGAGCAATAGGTCGTCTGAGAATGCTGTACAGGCATCGTGACTTGTTCCCCAAACCCACCAAATTTCGGCTTGTGCAGGCACTTGTACTGTCTGTGTTTGATTACTGTCTTCCGGTGTATGGTAATGTTATATCACTGGGAGACATGAGTCGGATGCAGAGGGTGCAAAACATTTGCGTCAGGTACGTCTGCGATCTGCGAAAATTTGATCGAATTTCATCAGACCTCACATCTCTTGGCTTATTGCCTATGGCTGACCTGTGCCTTTTACGCACTTCCTGCATCATCCGGAGGGTACTGTCAGAGGAGAGACCTCAGTACCTGAAGGTAAGACTGAGAGCTCGCTCTGAGATGCGATCCCGATGCACACGGCAGGATGACATGCTGGAGATGCCCCGTGTGCGCTGTGAGTCCGACCGTTGTGGGTTTTCTTATTTTGCCCCTAAAATCTGGAATAAATTGTCATCCAGGACTGAGCCAGGGGTGTTGGACAGTGAAAAGTCATTTAAAAAATATATAACAAATGGTTTGAAGAATGGTAAAATAATTAGGAATAGAGAACATATTTTAATTTTTAATTAGCCTAACTTAAGATTTGAGAGTTGCTTTTGTTTTATATTATTTATTTATGTTGACGTGAGTTGTTTTGAAAAACATATGTTGTAATATGAAAAACGCTCAAGAATAAAGACGATTTTCATTTCATTTCATTTCATTTCATTTCATTTCATTCATAAAACAACAATAAATCACATAAGTCGCAGATCTGAGGTTAACCAAATTGTTTACAATATGAAAGTCATCTGTCTGCTATAATATGATTGGCACGGAAATAATCAGCGTCTAGAAACAGACATCGGAAGAAAGCTTAGAATCAGCCGAAAACAATGATACCAATCTCTATTCAGTACAATCCAATTCAGTCAGTCCCAGAGCCTTTGCAGTAAACTATGTTTGTGAGTCGACGTGTCGACACATAACAACGCAGCGGGTGTGTTATGCATTGCTATTGGGTCACTTAACACTAGGAGGGTTAACACAGTAGGTATTTGCATTGTTGCGGTGGACGTTTTTTTACATCCTGAGGAGGAAGGAAGCTTTGTTGACAGCATAGCATTGTTGTATTCTGTTGCGTACTCCAGCTGTGTTTACCATACTCCAGCTAACTTAACCGGCTCCTTTCTTTTTCTAAACAACAGTATCTCTGGTCTGAAAAGAGTACAGAAAGGAGTTTTTTTACTATGTAGTGTGGCGAAAAGTACATTATGTAGCCTATATATATAGTTTTTCCCATGGTATGACTTTTTATTATTTTGTACCATATTTCTGGATAATTGGATAAGCTTATTAAATTTCCAAAAGATATAACACCTATTTACATTATTTAAATAGAATAAGCTTTTGATCAGTAGTGAAATTATTTTAACTTCATCCAAGATTTGCATGTCCAATGGGTAGGCAAAATACAGTACATCATAAGTCACTACTTGTGTTTGTACCTTAACACAAGAATTTTAACTCCATTGCATGGAGAGAGTAGGCTTCAGAATTTCCAGCCTGGTTAAGAGATTGTGTAAAGGACACATTTGACATTAGACATTTGATTGCAGCTGGAAGCAACATCACTTAAAAACCTAAGAAGTGCGCAGAAGACTAGTTCGTCAGATAAGAGGGCTAATGTGATCTACGCAGACACTCTAATGTTGCTGTTTGAAGAAATTGCTCGAGTTGTGGAGATACATCAACCACTTGTGGAAACGTACTATGGCGAGTCTCAGTTTTAGTTATATTTTTTTTTCTTTTATATTTATATATTTTACATTTATTTATTTTTTAATTTTTCTCTGTAGGAAACTGTTAAAGTACTGTTTTAAGCCACTTAGCTGTAAATAAGGGTATCATTTCCATTTGCGAGCATGAATTTATTTCCTTGTATTTTATTGGAAGTTAATTTTTGGTAACAACAAATTTATGTAGTAAAAAAAAAAAACTAACTGTTATAAAAAACTAAACCCACTCATTTTATGTTTTGCTAGCTTAATAGTTAGTGTATCAAACTTTAATGAGACGGGTTCAATCGCTGACATTCCAAAAACATTTATTTAAAAATAATATGTAAAATACAGATAAATACCGATACAAAAACGTTTATCTGGGGTTTTGATTGCTTTAACTTAACAGGGAATACTCTCTCCTCTAACAAATGTTTCTGACTGTGAAAAAAAACCTTGAAAAAATTAATCCCCATTAGAACATGTATTGGCAATGTGTAATAAAAATTTGTTTATTTTGAATTTTAGAAAGTCCCTGCAAAACTCTTAATTTACTCTACATGAACAACAATATGATTGCTTATCCTAAACCACTGCAAATAATTACTTTTACAAATGTTATCACACTCTTATTTTTCCAGTGACACAATTTGTGTGTTTCCAATGTTCCAACTGAACAATTTTGCAGGTTTCGGGAAGTTGTTCAAAGTAGTGTCCGCTCTACAACAAGAATGTGACAAGCAAAGTAAACTTATCATCATGGAGTTTTCCAAGCAAAGACTTCTTGAGCGTCGAGTGTCAATGATCAATGAGATAGAGCGCAGCACAAGTCAGATGAATGCTTCTGGAGTCGTCGATCCGAAGGAGATTGATTTGCTGCTCGGAGAAATCACCATTATGCACTCCAGATATCATCTGTATCTACGTTTTGTTAGGAGGAGAGTTACTGTAAGTGGTTTGGGTTTGGTGTATCCTACTTTACTTATCAGTGAAAGTTCCTAAATAACAAGAGAACTTGTTGTTCAACTAAATGTTTGATACCCTGGGATTTTTATTTGTAAATAAAAGGTTAGCTGCTAGCTTCATAGAAAAGGTTTGTTATATAAGATAATGACTTAGAATTTGTATTGTTTTTGCTTATCTTTATAACTTTTAAGCTGGACTGTTGTTTTATCAAATACTTAATAGACCAACACACATTTTTAGCATATCTTTTGACTAAGGTTTTGATCAGACTCCAGTATCTAGACAGACTCCAGGGTTTTAAAATACAAAAAGTATAATTATAAAACTAAGTACTTAGCTATGTTTTGCTAGAGGGTTTGTTTTAAATTTTTTATTTATGAAATATTCAAATGAATAGACTCAAGTACTACCATTTAAAGTATTAACTTTGATGTGACAGAATGACCTGGAGGTTGGTGTTCCTGATGTGTCGGAGAGATCCGACAAGCAAGAAAAGTTAGACAAGATGATTCACAACAGTGAGCTGTGCCGTCGCATGCAGGAGCTACTGGGAGTCTACCTACAGCTAGAGAGGTAAGCATTGTGTATCACAACAATGAGCTGTGCTGTCGCATGCAGGAGTTACTGGGAGTCTACGGTCTGAATTTACCCCTGTACAAATTCTACCTGTTACAAGTTTTCAAGGAATCATGCCGTGCAGCCTACAAAAGTTATAGGAATGAGAATGAGGCATGTTTTACCAACAAGTTCTTCTATAACTTGATCAATATCATATGCACAACTAAGTGTCGAGTCACTATCTCAGGGTTAGAACCAAGAATTTCACATTCACAGCAGCAATGCTGTGGGTTTAGTTCCACATGTTTTAAACACAGCTTGCTACCAACCCACCCCATGCTTTGCTAGATGAGTTCCATGCACACAACACCAGACAGATACTCAACTTTTCCCATGTTTCAGGTTTTACATGCTGCAGAGTGTTGACAAAGCAGTTGCTATGGACACTGTTGAGGCTGGATCCACCATGTCCAGTATGGTTGATGATGTATTCTTCATTGTAAGGAAATGTATCAGGTCAGTTTTGATTTTGCATAGCCAGACTGTATAATTTGTTAAGGTAAACAAACACTGCTTCCGACCTAATAGGTATGTACTTCATAATTTATAACATGTTCACTTGACAAGACAAGACAAGACAAACATTCTTTATTTACAATTTATTAGAGAAATGTAGTAGAGTCAAGGTTTCCAATGGTGTGATAGTATTTTGCACAAAATAAAATTATGTAGCCTTGTTAGGCTATATAATTGGAACCTTTTTTGCCAGAGGGAAAAGGCAAAGAATCTTCTCTTCGTTTGTTTGTTAGCCTCTCTACTAATAAGCCAGCTCTAACCTAACAATAAATACCAGCCGTTAGATAATAACATTTTGGTGGACTAGCTTTACTAGAAATACCTACTTTAAAATGAAATCCATACTGCTTGATGTTGTTAGAGAAACGAACCCTCAAAACATACCCAGCTAAGCTAGAAGGACCTGTGTAATAGTAATAATCACTAGGCAAAGTAGGCAACTTCTTTAAGTACTGCCATACATAAAACATACTCCCTTAGTAGATTTCCTATCCTTATGGAACGGCTGAAGCCAATTGTATTGTTAGTTCTGTCTGGTGCACTAAAGAGGTTGTGTTTTGTTTACAATTTGTTTCTTGTTATTTCAGCCATTTAAACCCCCGTTTAACCAAATAAAACGATATAATCATAAACAATAACTCAGCCTCTAGTTATATAACCAAACAGTAAAGCACAAATCATGAAATTAATTCTAAAATAATAGAAACAAAATTTCGTCAATCCTAGCTACAGAGTCTCCGGACATGAACTAGACACGAAAAACGAGCTTCAAAATTTACAATTGGACAGGAAGTCTACTTGTGTTGGTTAGTCTATAGTACTGCTAAGATGTGTTTCGTAGAGGGAATTGAATGCTTGTACCAATAGGTTTATAGAAGATTAAAGTAAAGTCCTACACACCAGGAGAACCTACCAATCCGGTGTATAATGAACTCAAGCAAAAAAAACTAACCTTAAAAACTTAGCATTATGTTTTCACACTTAATCATTTACAAGACTGATTTTGGTCTGGCAGGCGGGCAGCCTCCACAGGGAACCTGGACGGAGTGTGCGCAGTGATCAACAACGCCTGTGCTGCGCTTGAAACTGAAGTGTGTCCTGCGCTCAAGCAGCAACTCAGGCTAGGCTACCCCAGTGGCTACCTGGACCTGACACAGGCTTACAACGTGGTCATGCAGGGCCGACTGCAGCCCTCCGACTCAGAACACGCTAGGAACACGTTTCTGGTACATCTTAGTAGGGTGACATCCCATTCCCCTGTCAAATTTGTAGCCAGTTAAAAAATGTACATTGTTAAATTCAGTGAGCAAGATAATGCTCTACTGTAAACTGATAGCTCCAGGACACAACATCATTTTAGCAAGCCAATCTGAAAGCAAAATGTGTAAAAAAAACTAGCAACAACTGGTCTAAACAGGCTACAGATTAAGTCACATTTTGGCCAGATGCAGCGGATTCAAAACTTAGCATTCCAATTTGCATTATGCCTCAAATAAATTTGTTCATATCTTCAAGTCCCCTTTACTGTGAAGCAGCTGGTCTGTTGCCATGGAAGAAGTGTGTGTGTATTTATGTGCTGCATGACTCGAAGGATATTGACACTCCATGAGCCCGACTATCTTTGCAAGACGTTTTCTGTTGGGAAAGGTGTTATCCAGTATAGGACACATCTTGGAATTGAGAAAGAAAAGCTTCTCTTATCTTACATCTTACAGAGTGTGTTGTGTCTAGGTGTACCTGAACAATGCTGATGTCAGTTGTGAATATGTCACTACATTGTGCAAAGGCTTGTGTCAAGAGATCCCAGTGGCTTCAGATCAAGAGAGAGCTAAACTAGACAGCTGTCTTGCAGGGCTTGGTGAGTACGATTTTCACCACCTATTCTACAATATGTTTATTATCATCTAATGATAAAAAAATGTTGTGTCTAAGGATAGCACAGAATATTGCAACTCCTGGGCTTATCCCGGTCATAACTAACAATATTTCTTAGTGCCTACACTTCTTATAGTAAAGAATCTATGATTAAAATATAATTTCAATCCTATCAATAGTATATAAGACAGAATCTTTTTCAAATTGATGACTTAACCTCTACAGTTGGACGTACAGAACTAACAATAAAATTGGCTTCAGCTGTTCCATAAGGATGACAAATCTACTAAGGTAGTATGTTTTATCTATGCTTTTATATAGTAACAGTTTTGGTTGATTAGGAACTGTGACAGCATCTATGGGTGCCATAGTGGACCTTGGCCTGCAGCAACTGAGGGTGTCGGCAATCAAACCTCGAATTGCGCCTTGGGTGGATACATTCCTCACTCTTAGTCATCACCTTACCGAGGTAAACCATGAGATTTCTATTACCGTAGGTCTCATTGTAAGACCTAGCCCCGGGACAGTTTTTTGTTTCTTTTGATGTCCTCAAATGCCAAAAACACCATCTGTTTACCATGTGTTTGTATGTAGACGTGTTTTCTGTTAGTTTGATAACTAAAATATTTCATCAAATTTTGATAAAATTTCACACAAATATGTAATCCTATGTTTATTTAAACAAGTTCACAAACAAGCATGAACAGACTTTGGTTAACTGTGAGCACTAAAGAGATTTAATCTTGAAATTTTGTAATTATAAGGAACATTTACATAATTATTCTTACTTCAACTAATTTATTAAGTTAAGGACCTTGTTAAACTAAACCCTAGACACCAAAAATAAATAAAAATTTTTACTGTACAACTTGGCTGTACATGTGTCTCTTAGGTTTACATTAGCCGTACATTAGGTAATACATTAGGGTAAATACTTGTTAAATCTAATGTTATTTGAATGTGGAAGAAACATGACTTGTTTATGGAAATATTTTAGTGAAAGTCCAATCAGACAAAGTTAAATTTGCTTTTTTCTGCAGATTTGCTGCGATGGGATATTTTATATACTTTTTTTGCTTTTCCAGGAAGAGTTCTCTAGCTACGAAGCGAATGAACCATTTGTTAGAAGTCTCATAGCCAATCTTGATGGTTTACTGTCAGAGTTCAAAAACAAACTGACTCCTACAAATTTTGACGCTTTGGTGGGAATACTAGTCACTGAAGTTACAGGCCAGATGGAAAAAGTGGTTTCAAAGTCAGAGTTTAATCGGGTAAGCTTTGTTTATTGTTTTCTGATTTATTCTGTTTTAATTTGTAGACCAGGCCCACGGAATAATATTGTTTAGTATACCAAGAAGGATTTCCTGTTGTTGCCTTTTTTAGAGAAGACACTTTAAATAACCTTTGTGGATGATCAATCACTGATGCAGCCGCCCAGGGGCGTCGCCCAAGGAGGGAAAGGATGTGCCCCCCCCCCCCCCCCCAATGATCTTTTAAAATTGTAAAATTAGGGAATTTTTAAGGATTTTGGGAATCTATGAGTTGTGGTTTTGGGAAGATTGAACGTAATGTATCTCTAGTACACAGTAATTCAAGGCTTAAATTTCTTCCTTGGTTGTGAGTAGTGTTAAAAATCAATAAAAGAGGCTGCAAATCTAATATTTATTGATCAGTACAGTGTAGTGAAAGTCAACTGAATAATGTGTGAGAAACATTCATTTCTTGTTAGTTTGTGTTTGCCAGCTATAAAAAGGCTTCAAACATAAAATATTCCTACTCTTAAAAAATAAATATTAATTATTGGGAAATCCAAAGCATCTCCCCTTCAATATTTCTTTCATGCGATACCCCTGCAGCCGCCCCATTAAAAAAATTAACTAAGAAAAAAATCTTTATTTTTGAAACTATTAGTCAAATGGATACAAATAATTTAGTCAAATTGTTATGCCGCATAAACTAAGCATACATAAAAAGTATTATTTGTGTATTATAAATTTGTAAGACTAAAAAATGTTTACCACAAACAGTTATTTCTATAAAAGGATTTAAATAAATACTAATTTATGATTGGATAAAACACCTGATCCAATATATTTCTTGGAAATAAAGTTTCCTTCACAATGAAGAACTTAAGTGTGGTCCTAGGTCGAACCCACTTTTAGTAAAAGTAATCTTGATCAGAGGAAACATTGAACTATTTACTGCAATAGCAATGTTGTTTCCGTTATGTGTCATAACTTGATATTTAAAATTATGTCAACAGCTGGGAGGTCTAGCACTGGACAAGGAAGTACGATCGCTGGTGAGTTACTTGAACAGTGCGACGTCTTGGTCGGTGCGTGACAAGTTTGCACGACTGACGCAGATTGCGACGGTACTCAATCTTGAGAAGGCGTCGGAGATCACAGATTACTGGGGCTCCGAGGCCGGCTCACTCCCATGGCGTCTCACCGCCAATGAGGTTCGACAGTTCATGGCTTTGAGGTCAGTTACACATTACTTATAGTAAGCATAATAATACTCCCCTAGAAAGCACACTGTGTTGTGGAAAAACAAGCTGTATCCACCAGGCTGGGTGTTTCATTCACTAGTGTTGTTCTACTTCGTTAACAATATTTAGGCAGTTTGAGGGGAAGTTCCCCCATCACTTTTTTGTATTTAATGTATGTTCCTTAATCAGCTATTGAGCTACGAGGCATGTTTTTAAGTAAGTACCGTTTTTAAATTTCTCCGTTCCAGCGCTGCGATTGGCATTTTTGACATTTGTGCTGTGTATGCATACTTGGGAAAACGAATAGAAATATTAACGAATAACACTATTCGTTCGTTTTTTCGGCTAACTTCTATTTTAGTCGATACTTTTTAAAAAGAGCTCGAAATAACTTCTACTCAGTTAGTTTTATAGCCAGCGAATAGATAATATATTCGCTGGTTTTAAATCGTTAAGTTTTTGGTCAGGCGAAAGTGTTTCCAATAGCCTACGGGTTATTTATTTGACGTGTTCAGTGAGGGTTGCGAGCGTACGTGAGAGGTCAGCGCCCTTGTGACAAACAACGTGGGGGGTGGGGAAAGAGAAAGTCAAAGTCCAGTCGCTTTGGTATGCAGCGGACCCAGGGGGCGGGACAATGGCAGCCAATAACAACACCCCAAGCACCGAAGGGTGGGAAGGGGGTGTTTGTTTGGCGATTGATATGTAATCTCAAGTGTCAAAACAATGTCTTCACTTCAGTCGAAGTTCATTATCTTATCTGACCGTTGACCGTGACAGGTGTTAGTTCATTTGTTTTCGCCCAAGTGTTTTTGGTTGTCTTGTCGGTATACATATTTTAGTGATAGTTAAAAATTTGTTATACAATAGTTATTAAGGTGAACAGTGTTGATTAAGTACAGTAGATTAATAATATTGGTTTCCAATGGCGGGCGAGTGTGATATTAAGTGGCCAAACTTAAGTGACATATTCCAACAATTCTTTGTTTCTGTTGTTTTTTTTTTTTTTTGAACAATATTCCAACAAGTTGAAAAAAATGAAAACGTTCGACTAGCGTTGAAATGTTTATTGTGTTAACCCAAAACAAAAATAATTAAAGCATCAGTCACAAGTGCTTCGAATTTGAGAGCGCATATTAAGGTAGGTAAGTGGAGAAAAAGTATGATGGTCTCGTTGTTAACTTTAAGGGATTATACATTTTTTTAATGAATATAATTTATATTTTTAAGTACAGTTATAGTGTTTTTCTCAATGCTTTTCCCATGCTCTTATAAATACTATCTCGCCACAAATAGGTCACTTTCAAAACTAGGAGTTAACTATACTTTTATCACACTGGGAAAACTACTTCATCAGCCTTTAAAAAGTATCTGATATTTCGTAATACATTAATTGTTTCTAAGTTAAACACAATACGGCTGTACAATTAATTTTACAGTAACATTCAACTAATTGAACGTCAACAAACTGTGTTTTGAGTTTAACCTAACCGGGAACTTCAGCTGTAACTTATGTTTGTGTATCGAAAGTAATGTTTATGTCAGGAAAGGTGAGATGATCACTATTTGTTTTTGAACTATTGAATACAGAGTCATGACAAGATTTGTATCACCTTTGTCGGGGAAATAAATATGTGCCCTCGAGTTTGAGCCTAAATCTCTCAGAGATTATTTATCCGATTTTGTTGAAACAAAAGTTAAGTATAAGCTGGTTTAAATAAATTTTACGTGGTGTCAATTAAAAAATTTCCGTTCACCAGAAAAATGTATATAGTTAGTTGAAAGATCCTAAAAAGTACCGGGTTTTAAGTAACTTTGCACTAACACTGAAGTTAAAAATGTATTTTTAAACAAACCACTGAGCCAATCTTTCTGAAATTTTTATGGGTTATTGGTAGGTTCATTGTTAACATTTCCATGCATTAAAAAAAATTTATTCACAGTAGTTTTTATGCTACTGTTAATTTTTAAAACGTATGCTAACATCGTTAATAAGGCACTGAAAATTACGTTCAAAATATCATCGTGTATATTTGAAGTTAACTTATTGTGACGTATTTGTTTCATGGTTCTAGTGAATATTTTGTTAGTAAATTTATGTTACATCATAAAACAGTAAGTTAACTATAAATATACACGCACATCGGCAACGTCGCAGTGGCGCACGCGCTCCCGCCCGGCTGGGAATTATGGTACAAACATCAGGCGGCCCGGCCCGCTGCCAGCCACGGGAGAAATTTGTGTGTCTTATTAACGATGTAAGCATACGTTTTAAAAATTAACGGCAACATAAAAACTACTGCGAATACAATTTTGTAAATGCACATATATGTTATTAATGAACCTTATATTTAATTTTGTTTCAACAAAATCGGGTAATTCATCTCAGAGATATTTTGGCTCAAACTCGAGTACACATATTTATTTCCCCGATAGTAATTTTTGTAGCAAAAGTATTTATTAATAACATGTTGCAATAACTTGCAATTGTGGGATTTTTCAAGATTTGTTTCAATTGACTAACAAGTCAGATTTCATCAATTATTTTATGCTGCGATTAACAATATTTGGCTTCCATTTTAGGGTATAATTATCATTGCTATGAAAACATAGTGTACTGTACTATTACTTAGTGTTAACTATTCAAATTGTTTTTTAGGCCACACATCCTTCTAAGATTTTGGATTTCAATGAAAAAATTGAAAAAAAGGGTCGCAAACGAAAAAATGACTGTACTGATATTACCGAGCCTGTGCTAAAATCATTCTAGTATTTAATTAAAACACAATTAGTAACCAAAGATGTGTCATTATTTCATTACATATTAAATCCTTTAAAACAACTGTCCTGTCCAACAAACAGCTATCTTCTACGAATGTCGAAAACTAACTTTATTTTCTATCAGTTAGTTTTTAAACTAACTAATAACTTCTATCAGTTACTTTTTAAACCAACTAACTAGTAACTTCTATCAGTTACTTTTTATGGGACTAACTTCTATCTTCTAACTAGTTAGAAATTTTGACTAACTTTCCCAACTATGTGTGTATGTGCATCTATTGGCAATCCTGCGCCGGAAATTTGGCAACAATCGGCCGTGTTTACATCCGGTTTCGAGCATTCGAAATAGTTCCGCCAATTGAGACTGCTGCCGACTGTGAAGTACACGCTGTAATTAGATTTTTAAGTGCTAAAGGTGTGAAAGCCATTTAAGTTCTATATTCATATATTCATATTCATATTCTTTATTCGTAATTTTTGTACAAAGGTGGTACAATGAACAGCGTCAATAAAAAGAAATTCAATTACAATGATATTAGTAAATACTAACTAGTGAAATAATAACAAGTCTGGAACGGAGAAATTTAAAAACGGTACTTACTTAAAAAACATGCCTCGTATTATTTTAAAGGTGGATTATTTATTCAAGTGGAGGGGAAAGATTTCTTCCCCTAAAACCGTCTAAATATTGTGACCGAACTATAGTGCAGCAGACAGTTAGGCTCAAGTGGAAGTAGAAGTTCTTGTTGAGTTGCACCTCAAATCAGACATTTTGTTACTTTTAGCATACTCTTATAGTGTGTGTCACCAAAATCATGTTTCAAAGTAATTTACATTTTTGGGTGCATAAGGAGGAAACCGGGAAACATGATAAAAATATGAATAACTGAATCATTAAAATATAATCTATGGAGTTCAAAGGGTCACCATTACATGTACTTATCTTTAGATTGTTTATCGTTACAACAATAATATTATATATCACTGGGTTTGAAGTTCTACCAGAATATAAATTCATATGTCTAAATATATATGAATTTGAACAGATGATGTTTTGGCCTTTGGGGACCTCAACTATACTTTTCTGATCATTAAAAACAATCCAAGTTCTACTAAGATAGTGTCTTATTATTCTAGGACTGATTTCCGCAGTGAAGATATAAGAAGATTGAAATTGTAAATAATGTGTAAGTAATTAAATATACTGCAATAAATCTATTGATTCTTTGTATTCCTATTTCAATCTATATGGTATTAATTTGGTAGGGGTTATTTTGTAAACAGAACTCCTAGACTTTTTAATCTATTTTGAAGTACCGTACTGTATTTTTGGTGTAATTTTAAAGAGTTCACTCTGAAGTTTTGCTAAGCCTAAAATGAGCCTTAATCTCTGTCTCCTTGAAGGTATCTTTCCAGATGAATAGAGTCTGTCTCATTTGTAAATACCCTCGCCGCAGCAAACTTTGCAGACTAAGCAAATTTCCATTTGCCTGATTGGATTTTCACTATAATGTCTCTTTAAAAAGTCACATTTTTCCCCTATTTATATGAAAAGTAAATAAAGAAACGTCTTATAACACTTAAAACATATATTTACGCTTATACTGTTACTCACAAGACGGTGAATATACAAAAAAGGTGGTAAGTGGTGATCGATTTTGATTGGACACTCCAATCATCATCAGACCCAATAGGCGAATGACATTCCCTACGAACTTGAACACCCCAACATTACATTGTACGAACTTGGACATGAACCCGTACAAAGGACGGATACTCTGCTAGTGTAATTTGAGTTGAATAGCCGAGTTTATTGTTAATTCATATATAAATTCATATAGATATGAATTTGAACGGATGGTGTTTTGGCCTCTGGAGACCTCAAAACGAAAAAGTAATTCAGTCCTAGGTCCAGTCCTTACCATGAGGTATGTAATAGCTTATACAGGGTTAGTAAATTTTTGCGTTGTTGGTTTTCTTTTACCAGGACCTTCAAAATGAGGGGTCAATCGATGGGTCTTTTGTTTGAAATTTTTTAGTTTCCCCCAAAATCCCTCATTTTGGGGATGTACACCAAGTGGCGGTCATGCCCAAAAAGTACTTCATAACATGCCATAAAGGTGTACCGAGTTTAGTTTTTCTAGTATGGGCCGTTAAAAAAATAACAGGGGGTCTCCACACTTTTTACTAACCCTGTATAATAGAAAGGGCAAGTGTACATCTGACATAATAGACAAATTGATAAATGAGGTTCTAATGGTCTTTGCAAGCAAGCCTCTTGCTCCTGAGCATTTTTATCCTGAGGGTTACTTGTCAAGTGGCCTGCCACTTTCTGCGACCTGAGTAACGTGATTGTGTGGACTATTGTTGTAACTCTTTATAAATAATAAAAACTAAAAGAAAGAAAAGTGTATTATTTCATTAACAAAAAAAAAAAATAAAACTAACAAAAACAATAACAATTCAAAGAATAAAGATCATATGATCAGCTGGTAATTAAAATGCAGTCTATTAGAAATTATAACAACTATGATGACCTTACCATAGATAAAACATACTCCCTTAGTAGATTTCTCATCCTTATGGAACAGCTGAAGACAATTTTATTGTTAGTTCTGTACGGTTTATGTAGAGGTCGTGTTTTGTTTACAATTTGTTTCCCGTTATTACAGCCATTTAAAACCTCGTTTAACCAAATAACTTGTCCCCTAGTTATATAACCAAACAGTAAAGCACAAATCAAGAAATTAACCATAAAATAATAGAAATAAAGTTTCGTCGACACTAGCGCCCATGTGTCACGTACATGAACTAGACACGAAAAACGTGCTTCAAAATGTACAATGGGATGAGAAGTCTACTTGTGTTGGTTAGTCTATGACCTTACAATGAAATTAAATTTTTATGGTATCAACAGAACTCCACTCTTGTTTTTCAATTGATACCTAAACAATAGAACACTAAAAGTCTGTATTGATGAAGAATGGTTCCAGGAATTAAAAATAAAATATGGCGTGCCTCAGGGATCTGTTCTAGATCCTCTGTTATTTTTAAACTGTATTAACAACCTCCCAAAATGTATAACTAGTAAAATTTTTAAATTTAAAACTAGTTAAATTTTATAATAAAAGCTTGGGGAACCTATTGGGGGATAATCTGCACTCTTGAAGAGGTTCAGTTCAATGTCTGCCTAGTAGCTACTCAAGGTGCTCAACACTGTGCCTTCGAATCCAATAGCGTACTTTTCAAGCTTTGCCAACAGGATGTCGTGTGAAACCACATCGAAGGCCTTGCTCAGGTTACAGAGTCTCAAAAATACCGACTCGCTAAGCATCTGTAATAATAGCACTGACAAGATTCAAGAGAGCAGAGGATGTTGAGCGGCCACTCCTAAAGCCATGCTGAGCATTTGAGAATGATGGTTGTTTTTTAAATATGCCGAGAGTTGTCTCTTCATTATGGTCTCCAGCACCTTGTAGAAGACAGGCAAGATAGAGATTGGTCTATAATTTGCTGGGATTGAGGAGTCACCCTTCTTGAAGATGGGGATAGTCCTGTCCAAGTCCCATTCCTTTAATCTATACTATTGTCGAGACGAGCAACATTAAAAGTAGCCTATATACATACAGTATATCATCCATCTTATCCCGGTCAGTGTCCAGAAGACAGGCTTGCAGTGAACGGGAGGTGTTCGGCCTCTCACTTCCTACCTATCAGCACTCATCTCCCGACTACAGAGTGGTGGAGGGAACTCCACTCTTTAAAATAAGATGAGTATTTAATTGTATAATACTTCAGCCTAGACGTATTTATTTATTTATCAATTGCCTCATGTTAAAGTAACTTTGATAACTTAATCTCATTGTATTACATATTTTTAAAAAAATAGAATAACCTATTGAAGTTTGACTATTTGGTCAGCAATTAGCTCATGTTAAAACTATGGCGCATTGATTTTCAAACACCAAAGGGCGCTCACGGAAGTTACCTGCGAGAGTACAAAAACTATACAAAGATGAGTAAAAAATTGTAATAGCAATAAAACTGTAAGAAAAATATATTTTATTAGTTACTAGCTGTGTGTGTTCTACGTATGGGGTGAATAAAATATATTGTACAAACAATACAATGAGGAATCTTATTATATCAAGTATAAATTCGAGCATTTTATTTACAGTAAAAAAAAATGGAACTAACACAATAGTAAGTACAGTGTAAAGAAATATTAATAATATGGATACTATATGGAAATAATTACAGTTAAACTAGTAAACAAAATGATACCCCCGCCGCAGCAAACCTGCAGACTAAGCGAATTTCCATTAAGCTGATTGGATTTACACTAAAATGCCTCCATAAAAATAGCACATTTATTTCCTATTTAAATAGAATTAGTTTAACGAGTACTTAGGTTTGCTGCAACAGGGAGGCTAAAAAAGATTTTTTTTTTAATTATAATAGTTTAGTAAGAAATAAAAGTATTTTCCAAAATCGACCAAAATATGTTCATAAACAAGCAAACTACAACAGTTGACTTATTCTCCATAAGAATAACATGGGAATTTTAAAATTACAATTTTTTTGAATTTTCTCCGTAACAATTAGGTGCATAATAACGCTTCAATATACTGAATTTTTTGTTTTTTTAAGCTCTACAAAATGGTTTAAGAAGAAATTGTGAAATTTTGTGTTTTTAGGGTCAAAAATGGGAAAAACATATTTTTACCCCATAACACCCCCCATAAACCCCCGTTCCCATAGTCCGATCATGCTGGTTCGCGAACTCATTCAAGTTTATCGCCCCTTACACCTTCAAACCAAATTTTATCAAAATCGGACAAAAATTACTCAAGTTATCGTGCGGATGGACACACACATATATATACAGGGTGGCTGGTCATCAGTGTTACAAATTTTTTTTGGCGTAAGTACAAAGTAAATGCAGTGTTATGATGCATATAAAAGGTTCCAAGTCCAAAAATTAGCTTCCCAAAGAATTATTTTATGTTTTTCAAAAATAACTATGTTTTCAAACTTAATGCAGCTATTTCTCAATTACCGGTAAATGGATTTGAGTAGACAATGTCATTTTCGTGTTCTACATTAAATTTTGAATAAGAATAATAGAAAATGACGGAGGATCAGTTGTAAAAACCCCATTGTAAATAGATTCAAAGATAAAAATTAAGATGTTTGATACAAATTTAAAAAAACATTAGTCTATTGTATTTGTTCACACCCTGTATACAAGAAAGTGGCCGATTATGTTAAAAACTGCGCGATTTTATAAGCTTTCTAACCATATGCTACACTATTGAGGGTAATATATTCTGTTGTTTGTTTTAGTGGTTTGAATACCAGAAAACAGGGAACTTTTTTAATGTTTTTACTGTTCAAGCTGAAACAAAAATACAACTTTTGCTTAATACATACCGGCTTTCTATGTTTTAAATGTTAAAGGCACCCTGTTTTCTGGTATTCAAACCACTCAAACAAACAACAGAATATCTAAACCTCAATAGTATAGCATATGGTTAGAAAGCTTATAAAATGGCGCAGTTTTTAACATATTCGGACACTTTCTTGTATACAGGATGTGAACAAATACAACAGACCAATGTTTTTTAAACTTTTATCAAACATCTTAATTTTTATATTTGAATCTATTTACAATGGAGTTTTTGCAGCTGATCCTCCGTCATTTTCTATTATTCTTATTCAAAATTCAATGTAGAACACGAAAATGGCATTGTTTTCTCAAATCCATTTACAGGTAATTGCGAAATAGCTGTATTAAGTTTGAAAACATAGTTATTTTTGAAAAACATAAAATAATTCTTTGGGAAGCTAATTTTTGGACCTGGAACCTTTTATATGCATCATTACACTGCATTTACTTTGTACTTACGCCAAAAAAATTTTGTAACACTGATGACCAGCCACCCTGTATACACATATATCTCTATATATAGATATATAAAAATTTGAACGAATGGTGTTTTTGGTCTCTGGGGACATCAAAATGAAAAAGTAAATCGGTCCCGGGCTTAGGTCTTACCATGAGACCTACGGTAATAGCTACTTCCCTATAGGGAAATTCGCTAATACTAATATGGTTTTAGCGAATTTCCCATAAGGGAATAAGCTATTACCAATTACCGTAGTACTCATGGTAAGACCTGGACCCGGGACCGATTTACTTTTTCGTTTTGAGGTCCCTAGAGGCCAAAAACACCATCCGTGTAAATTCATATATATATATATATATATATATATATTTATATATATACATTTATATTTATATATATATATATATTTATATTCTTATGGAGAAAATTAAAACTGTTGTAGTTTACTTGTTTATGGATGTATATTGATAAAATTTGGCAAATTTATTTATTTAATCCTATACTATTGACGTATGGTCAAAAAACACCTTTTACCTTACCATAACCCGAATGTTAAAATACAACAACAGTTTTATCAACGATTGTATATAAAAAATCACAAACAGCCGAAACTCTACACAGTTCATAATATTATTGCGGAACACGTCACCCGTTCTATAGTCAATGGATAATACCATTGACTATATTTTTTGGGTGCAACCAGGCAAGGCCCCACTAGAAAAAAACAGGCCATGCTGCAGGATCCATGACGTCACACTAGTGGATAGATTTCATTGATAAATTCACTGCCATCGCCATTCCCATATGTTTTAGGTAAATAGACAAGCTGGCTGTTTGTAAGATTTTAATGGTAAGAGTTTAGTACAACCATAGGTACAACCTCGTACAACTATCCACCACTGTGGCGTAGTGTTGTGCTGCCCGTGCTGCAGAGCATGGGCAGCGCAACACTACGCCACAGTGGTGGATAGTGTTGTACGAGGTTGTACTAAACTCTTACCATTAAAATCTTACAAACAGCCAGCTTGTCTATTTACCTAAAACATATGGGAATAGCGATGGCAGTAAATTTATCAATGAAATCTATCCACTTCCACTAGTGTGACGTGACGTGATCCTGCAGCATGGCCGTTCGCCCGTTATAGCCCAGTCAATAAATGTTTTTTATCGCAACTAAATGGTGGAAAGCTGGATTTTTTATATGTGATAGAACCACATGAGAGGTGTATTTTCCCAAAAGTCCCCACTTCTACCCCTTGAGCTTTCCCCCCCACCCCCCTCCAAACATAGAAATTGCAGTGATTTACTTAATTGATCATAATTCGAATGTTATGTAAGCTATCGAGCTGCAATTTGTTTTATTTTATTTCTGATTAGTTTTCCTACAACTTTTGTATTTATAATATTTTTCTAAAACCAATACTTAGGGAGATATAAAATTTAAACTTCGTTAAAAGCTTTGTTTCAGAGTGCAAAATCTTGTTTTTCTCTATGTATACTTTTAAATATAAATAATACGCAAATATGGTTCGAACAAAAGTTTTAGTACGTTTTTCAAGGTTTACAAATATATTATTGGTTAGTCATCTAGGTGACCGGGTGAAGAGCTGAGCGTCGGCAAAGTGAGCGCGTGCGTGCTAGTTGAACACCTCTGCGCTGCGTCATCGCATCTAGCCCAGCCAATAAACGCACCAACTGCCTTTTTCGTCGTTAAATAGTGGAAAGCTGAGTTTGTTATATGTGATAGAACCACTTAAGACGTGTATTTTGCAAAAAGTTCCTGAATCTCCCCCCCCCCCACCCCCTCCAAACCTGGAAATCTCAGTTGTTAACTTTACTCGATATAATTCAAATTCTACGCATGCCATCGTAGTGAAATTTGGTTTAGTATTATTTATAATTAGTTTATCTACAACTGTTGTACTAAAGATTTCTTATAAAACTATAGCCAAAGAGAAATAACGTTTAACTTTTTTTTTATGTTTATGTTTATGAGTACACAATTTTGTTTTACCCTCTATATATTGTTTTTCAAATAAAATACGCAAAATGTTACAAACAAAAATTTTAGTATGTTTCTTAAGGTTTATAAATATATATTTGATTAGTCATCAGCATCCGCGCAGCCCCGCCCGTCGATACATAGCCTAATAAGGACCGGCACCGCTAAGTTCTCAACTGTTTTATATAAATCCTAAGACTTCCTCATTTGTAGCCTACATTACTACCAAAACAATCTGTTTCCAAGCTAAACCGTGACTAAATGAATCACCTCACGGTCAGTAAAAATTTTTCGTCGACTCACTAATCCTTTATACAAACTGCGTCCTATCGTTGATATGTCCCTCTCTCCACGCTTCCCGCTAGCAAATAAAATATGGCTGCTCTGCCATGAGTTGTAAGCCTGTGTTAAAATAATATCACGAACAACGTAGAAAACTGTCGGTAGTATTTATAAGCCATTTTAACCATGGTAAGGAACACAAATTAAAACCAGTCAATGTTAAAATTAACTTTTTTATTAAGTCTATATAGAGGAGATTTTAAAACACTTAATAAGCGCCTCCATCTTTATTAGCGATGTTAAACGTTTGCATAATGTCTACCAAAAACCAATAAAGAACTATTATGCTGACTAATCTTTTAGATAACATGAAAACAATAAAATATTAGAGAACAGAACCTCACCAAGAGTCACAGTATAGAGTCTCTAAAAATGATTGATCTGGACCACGTATTAGTGCCGTAAAGCAGATTCGTAATACATTGCTGCCAATTTTTACGAAAAAACCTCAATTTGATTGACACATCTACACAACATGTTAAGAAATTTGAATAATCTGCCTGTATGTATCCCGTAAATAGTCTTGCCTGCATGTATGGGGACACAAATAGTTTTTTACTTACTTATTTATACATTTTGGATATATGCCTTATTACATTAATTAATTGGAAAGTAAATACAGTAAAAGAAAATACGTCTAATAGTCTAACACTTAAAACATAAATTTACACTTATAATGTTACTGACAATACTGTAAATATACATAAAAGATGGTAAGTAGTCGTCGATTTCGATTCGACACTCCAATCATCCTCAGACCCTTAGGCGAATTGGATCATCTCATCATTGGGTTCAGTATGTTTCTTACCCAGCTTTATGTAATGTAATATTGTATCCATGTATATTATTGTCAATAGGTTTAGCCATTGACAGAAATAATTAAATAAATTATTATTTTAAATGATAAGCGAGTTAAAACCAACAATAAATTTAAGAAATGTACAAATGATTAGGTTTCATCTAATTAGTATTTTTTTCAGTTTACTATTTAGATCTTTACTGACCGCGAGGCGCAGTTAGTATAAATCTAGCGGGGAACAAAGCGAGTCCCATTGGTGGTAGATAATGGAAAGCACATTGTAACGTAAGGAAGAGCAAAGAGTATGTTTATAGTGATTTTTATAAAGTGTTTATTAGGCCTAGTGTTCTATACCTCAATCTATCAAACTTCCGTTGGTCAAATATGAAGAAATCAAGTATTAAAAGTATTGCAAGTATAACAAGTAAGTAGGTAGAGATTAATTTACCTGAACCAAAATTGGTTATACAAATATTATTGGGTTCCATCTAAATAATAATTGTTTTTACTGTTAACGGTTAAGCTTGGATACAGATTGTTTTGGTAGTAAACTAAAAAGTACAAGGCCATAGCATTTGTATAAAACCTTTGAGAACTTAGCGATGTCGGTGCCTATGACGCGACGCATCGACGGGCGGTGCTGCGCTGCGCGGAAGCCTGCACCCGGTGTCTTTGCCGACAATGCCGACGCCCCACACTACATCAGTTTTTTTCAGATGACTAATCAAATATATATTTATTAACCTTAAGAAACATACTAAAGTTTTTGTTTGAAACATTTTGCGTATTTTATTTGGGAAAAAATATATAGAGGGTAAAACAAAATTGTGTACTCTTAAACATAAACATTGTAAAAAAAGTTTAAATGTTATATCTCTGTGTGGTGGGGGGGGAAAGCTCAAGGGGTAGAAGTGGGGACTTTTGGGAAAATACACCTCTCATGTGGTTCTATCACATATAAAAAATCCAGCTTTCCACCATTTAGTTGCGAAAAAGGCTGTTTTATTGCATTCATTGACTGGGCTATTATGTCTAGTGGGGCCTTGGTGCAACCTGTTCCCAAAGCTATAAAAGTAACTGGATTAGGTAGGAACGAAATGTGGCATCTTTTGGAACAGACGTGCGAGGTAGCGGCGCACGTCTGACGTGTGAATAGCCTCTGCCAAACAAAACAACTAAGAAGAAGAAGTAAACTTTTTTTATATTATCATCAGTTATCAGTACTGTATCCACTACCACTAACCTAACCTATTGAACTTTTAAGTTCTATTGTTTATCAGTAATTTTAATCTTTTTAGATTGCTATATTTTTATTTTTTTAGTATAGTATTTTGTTAAGTGTTGCTTTTATTAGTTTCAAAGTGAAATATCCTTTATATTTGTAAGATGATGAAGTGTGTAGCTGTAGAACATCAACCTTTCAGCTTTGTTATTAAAACATAGGCCTAATGCTACTACACAACTTTTCTATATTTCTTTAATTACAAAACAACGTTAATGAAATTGGTATAGTTAACTATGGCTTTTAAATCTTGTGTCCCAGAGATTGCTCGTTTGTCCTCTAGGGTCATTTCAATACTAGGATGCAACCCAGGGCCCATGACCTTACAAGGAACTAATACATATCTCATTGGAACTGGAAAGAGGTGACATGATAATTTTTTAAAGTTTTGTAAGCTTAGCCTAGGCCTTATAAAAAATATCTTATTCTAAATGTAGAATAGATTCAATTAACTGAACCCACTGTTAAATAAGTTAAAAGGTTAACCAGCTATGCCCATGCACTAGCTTATGCCTATTTATCCTTACGGCAGGACATCCAAACAGAGAGTTAATGATATAGCATTGCTTATAGGCTTCCATTTAAACCATGTCATAGTTTGAGGACTGGACCTTGATGACTGTCTGGTGTAAAGTTTTAGAGACTTTAGGGCCTATAGTTCTTTTGTAATCAGTAATTAAGGTAGAATAGTTAGTTTAGAAATAGGAAATCTTTCTTTTGTAGGCTAATTAGAATAGTACAGTGACACAATGTAAAATTCACCACCATGCACTACAATGGTTTGAATCTTACCTTAGCAACAGGCAACAGTCAGTCTAAATTCCATTTATTGATAACAACAATAGTGTAGGCTAATTAATATTATACAGTAGTTCAGAAAAACTTGAAACAAAATCAGGTGTCCCACAAGGTCCAAGCTATGAAAAATGCATCAAAATCTAAAGAGTTTTATTTAATAGGCTACTAAACCTAAGCTTAATTGTACTGTCGATACAATTTATACTGTCAAGACAATAAAGTATTTATTTATTGGACGCAACTTAATCAGGTTTTGGACTAACATGGGGAACATGGCATTACTAATTTGTCTTCTTGACAATGAGGATTGTTCAAAACTTTGATATGCGACTCCATTGTAGGCTACTATAAAAACATAAAAGGACCTACCTACTGATTTGATCAATAAACAAACTCATAACAATTAATAATACTTAATCTGGAGTTGGATATCAAAGTTTTCCCGAGGAATGTATAGTCTTCTAAACTTAAGAATCTCACACTGTTCGGACAAACATGGCCTAAGTTAGCCAATAAACCATCGGTTTCCTCACTTTTAAGCTAAATATGAATTTATTATAATAGTAACTTACGCCTACGCATTTCACAGCTATAAAAATTATGAACTGTAATTTTAACTCATAATATTCCAGGCGGATACTATTGGATACAGGAGATGAAAATGTTCCTCAATACATTGCCAACTTGTCCAAGGTGTTGAAAGATGAAGTATGTGATATTGAACATGTTGTTGTAAGTCATTGGCATCATGACCACATAGGGGGAGTTCCAGATGTACTTAAATTGACCAAGTCAGGTAAGCTTTTGACGATTAAGGATGCCTACGGTTGAACCTTAACCAAACCTCAAAAATTTAAAACAAATTAAACAAATCCCCATATTAATCAAAATGTATTAATCTTCTGTGAATATGTCAGTATACCATACCGGATACCACAACTTTTGTTATTTTACCTCTATTATTTGTTGGTTGTTAATATGACCTTAATTAGTGCTGCATTTAACTGTAGGCCTACCTAGTTTCCTTAAAAATGATATTGTCAGGAAAATTGTGTGTGTCATCTCAATTGTTGGTATCGTTTCAAATTTTGTTTTTACAGATTGCAAAGTTTGGAAGTATCAACAAATAGACGAAGACGGCAATTTAGTACCCTCTGAAATACCATTCAACTGTTTATCTAACGGTCAAGTTTTATCAACTGAAGGGGCCTCATTGAGGTAGAGACCTAAGTATTAAAATTCAGTGACTCGTGACAGTAAAATTTAAAAAAAAACATACATGGTTGGTTGGACACTTTAAATCTATTTGATCAGGTTACCACTCAACATCATGAATTAATTAATAATGCCTATTAAGAAATGCCAGTATTTTTGTAAAATGGTAGTTAGTTACTGTGAACAAATAAATACAAATCAGAAATATGAATACCTTACACTAAGGAAATTGTTCTTCTTTTCACTAAGGACTACTGTCTAATTGTTTTACTCAGTGTAAATGCATTTTAAATATCATATTACTTATATGCATCTTTTTTTATAAAAAGATTATTGAATGTTACAGGCTACTAAGTAATACAGTTTTTCTTTATGTGTCCCTGAAAGCCTAAATGGAATAATTTTGATACAATTTTGATGAGATTTAGTATGAATTTGAAGAGCTGGATAAAATTTAATGAGTTTGTAAACCAACAAGATTGGGTAATGAGATTGTGGTGGCAGGTGTTGTAGGTTTTAAAGTTTTTTTTTTTTTATTTTCAACCTTTAGATCATGAAAATGTCAAATTTTTATGACAGCTAGGCCTATAAAAAAAAAAAATTATTTGTACCCCAGTGTTTTACAAATGAAGGTTATCCCTTTCCATTTGAATTAGTCGACCCCTTGTTGTCCCATACGCTCAGGGGTGCCCAGAGGGGGGGTACTGTGGTGCGTTTGCGCCACACTTATTTTGCAGACTTATTTTGAGATTTTTGGGGGGGATATTTTTTTGCTAGCTGTCATAATGAATGTATAATTTTGTATAAGCAGCCCGAAAAAGTGTTTCCAAGTAGCTCACTATCACCACCAACAACGTTTTGCCGTTCGTAATTAAGATAGGTAGTTTCTAAGAATGGTAAAAACGGACCTTGCCAGACAATCCTTAATATACCAGTGTCGAATGTTACTTGCTACATATGTTTTGGTGGTTCTTTAACTCCACCATCGTCAGGATTTAATAAAAAAGATCCACTTCTGGAGGTGTCGTCAGAATACGACAAACATTTAATACAAAACACAAAACGATTACAGATAGGCCTGTCAATTCGTACATTGCCGTCGGCAGGACTGGAAGTAAGTAAACTGAATCAGGTTCAGGTTATGACGGACCGACGTGGTCCCTGGATTGTCGTCTGCGTTTTCAACAGCTGATATTGGACTATTGTAGTGACTGAGAAGAGTATTGAAAATATAATGGGATTCATAATTAATGTGCTGTCAATAGTTTTATGTATATTTCAAACTCCTCAAAGTATTTAATAAATTTCCTTTTCTGCAGTAATGTAGAATGTCGAGACCATCCAGCATATAAATTGGTTATTATTGTCAATAATTTTGAATGGAAAAATCAATTATGAATCCCATTATATTTTCAACACTCTCCTCCGTCACTAGAATTAGTCCAATTTCAGCTTTTGATAACACAAACACCAATCTAGAGACCACGTCTTCCGTCATTACCTGATTCAGTTTACTTCCAGTCCTGCCCGCGGCAATATATCCACGCGTGAATTGATAGGCCTATCTGTTATCGTTTCGTGTTTTGTGTACAAAAGGATTGTCTGACAATATGCGTTTCTACCATTATTAGTCATAAAAGGTAATCCTGGTGCTATCAAAATGAATTATAAGATTACTTTGTCACAAAAACCTTTTGTACTGGTGGCAATTATTAAGAGATACTGTGGGTATTTTGCCCGGCGATTTTTGTAGAAGGCAGCCTGGGAGTGGCGAGCAACAAGTCTGTCTTATTTCGTGACTCTGCCTATAATTTTGAAACAATATACTTTTTGCCAAAGTATTATTAATGCACTTAAAGCTGTTTGAATTCTTAAGCCCTGTAAAAATTAACGCCACCTAATATATTGTACAGTTACAGTACTGTGTTGGAGTAGAGTAATTCACCGAGTAGGCCTATATTGTTGTACGTTTTGAAGACGTTGTCTATTGCAATTGCAATACTGAGCACACATATTGGCTGACAATACAGATTCTGAATTGTAAATTGAAAAACTTCTAATTCGTCCATTAGTTAGATTTATATTGATGTTAGTGTTAAATGACGTTTCATATTAAACATTTAATTTTGATTATCAGCAAGTTTGTTTTTCGTACCTCAAGTTTACTGAATACTTTAAATGCTTGTTTTATGAGGTAAAGGGAAAATTGTCATATAAATTGGTGAGGGGAGGGTAGGTTTAAATAGATGGCAGCATAAATTGGGGGGGGGGGGGGACTACTCCTTTGGCTTGGGGGGGATTGCGCCTCTGGGTTTGTGGGGGATGGGCACCTCTGCATACGCTTACATTTAATTTCATGCAAAAAACATGTTTTGGGTTTTGTGTACATATACTGTTGAATAGTATGTTGGTAAAGTTCAAGTTATTTAGTTTCAGAAGTTTAAAAGTTTGATAAAACTGAAATAAGTTGAAAGGGTTTGATCTGAGACAGTTTTATATTTTCATAGTAACAATTATAAGTTGTAAACAATAACAAATAAAATCTAACCAGCTGACATTTAATACAAGCTTTGGTACACTCCGGGCAATGTACAAAAACTTACAATTCCTCACTTCTAGTGGATATAAAAGGTTTAAGGGACGTACAACTACATCGTTTTCTGAAATTTGACAAACAAAATTCTCGTCCAGTTTAAAAACTTTTAATTGTTGCCAACACTCACTTTTAACTACAGGTATATTGATTGGCTGGACACCACCCGAAAGACTCGCTAGAAAATGTGCAAGTACTAGTTCAATAAATAAACCAACCCTTTGGATAGGTAGTAGTTGAATTACTCAATTTTTCAGGACTGAGTGGGATACCCGCAGACCTCTAATTTGATTAAATCTGTATTTTATCTTACAAGAGTGATACACACTCCAGGACACACAACGGACCATGTAGTGCTGACCTTGGATGAAGATGGTGTGTTATTCAGCGCGGACACAGTCTTGGGAGAAGGCACGGCTGTGTTTGAAGATCTAAAAGATTACATGAACTCTCTACATGTTATAAAGGATGCCAAACCTAAAGTCATCTTCCCTGGACACGGTCCTGTGATTGAGGTTAGCAATTTCATTACTTGAGAATCTGTATTTTGACGATAGGCCTAAATTTTGTCATACAATCTGAAGTCAGAACTTTACAACAATGGCCTAACTATCTGTGGTGTTTGTTCAAGCAGTAAATGTTCTCATACAATTTGAAAGATGTATTTCAATACTATCCCATATAGATAAGGCTTATATACACCTATACACTGGATAACTACAGAACTTAACAGTAGCCTATACAGGCTGTTAATCAGGCCACTTTGATCTTGAGAATCTGTAGGTTTAGAAAAAGATTTGAAAATTGACCCTGCTGAAACTTTTAATAAAATAATTCAAGCCAAAGAATCAGTTTCCGTTCAATTATTGACTTTTGTATACTTAAGCAGACATAAGGACCAGCTGTAGCTAGTTTTTCATTAAAACCCATAGTTAAATGAGCCACTTTTTTCCCCTTAGTTTATGTCACTGCACGTGATAGTTGATGTGACATAAACAATGCTGGAGTTTATGACAAATTGTCCTTGAAAGTTAGCTTGGTTAAACAAATTGGCATATTTGATAGGAATCAGTAATTTACTCATCGGCGTAACTTACGCCAATGCAACCAATATGGTGCACCAACATGGGGCGCAAAAATCTGATATTCTGGAAAATGTTTAGCAAAAAAATATCTCCCTGTAGCTCACGTACCAAAAAAATAAATGTAAAAAATGTATTTGTGGTACTTTATTCCATTACATTTACAACAGAATGTTGGTGACTCTTTTGTTTACTATTATAATGATCTCCTCGGTGCGACGTGCACATCTGCGCTTATTGCGTTCTTATCACAAGAATAGACTGCTCTTGTTTACTTATCGTTAGCTACAAAGATAGACAGATAAAATCTTTTAGTATTATTTAGTAACCTTGATCTTAGTTTAGTATTGAACATGAAAGAGCTCAGTTATTAGATGTAAAAAATTAGCAAAACGGTTCATAGAAACAATGAGCCATAGGGGTTTTGTCAGGGAATCTATACTTATTTAATACGCAAGCAGGTTTTTTGTGACAATTACTCCTCCGAAGCTACTGAACCAATTGACATGTTTTTGGTGTCATTGGAAAGAGCGTAACGTGAAGTTGTGCAGGAAACTTTCTTTTTAAGGAAATAATTAGAGAGTGAGGCCATGGAGCCCTTTAAAGTTTCGTATTTATCCATAAGATTAACATGGGAAACAAAATTTGTTATGGAACTCCAGCTGTTGTCAGAAATTAAAAGTGAAATATTTGTTGATGGTATCCATGGTACACAAAGACAAACCCACAAAATTTAAAAGTGTAAACAAGCAGAACTTACTGTCAAATTAATTTTGATTTCACAATTCCACACAGCTGGTTCAATTATTAAATACTGCATGATTATTAGAACAGGAACGCTAGGGATCATAAACAATTATCAAATATGTCACTCGCCCGAATCATTTTTGTCTATGCCCGAATGTAAACATTTAACATTGATTAAATGGAACTGTCAAAATATATGTCAATTTCATTAGTACGGAATTCTTTCAGTTACATCATTTGTTGATCGGGTTTGTTACAATATTTTTGAACTGCTGTAATAATATTTTACAGGAAATAATTGTTAGATAAATTCATGGATATAAGAAATAACTCAGATTCTTCAATCTTTGCTGTTATTAAAATTGTGTATCCGCAGAAAACCTTCAGACTAAGCGAATTTCCATTTAACTGGCTTAATTTATACAAAGATATTCCCTGAAAATGGTCATTTATTTCCTATTTAAATAACATTAAGTTAATTTTAATATGAGTACTTAGGTTTGCTGCTACAGTGAAGGTAGGTGTGTTTTTGTTGAAATGTTGATAGCTAAGTATGATTGTTATTGGTTTGCAAATCCTGTAATACTTTACAATTGCTCGAATTCGAGCAACATGTACACTAGTAGAAATTAATGCAGTATTGTAACTATGAAATGTAGGCAGCTGAATCTTCTAGTAAAATTACCTAATCAAATTTTGAATAATGAAACATGAACATTATATTGTAGCTTGCGATATCATGTATACTGTATCATACTTGGGAATAACGAATAGAAATTCTATCGAATAGCACTATTCATTAGTTTTTTTGGCTAACTTCTATTTTATTCGTTTGTTTTTAAATTAACTAACTAATAACTTTTATCAGTTACTTTTTACGGGACTAACTAATAACTTCTAACTAGTTAGAAATTTCAACTAACTTTCCCAATTATGCGGAAGCATCTCAAATACTGGTTATTTATTTCACGTGATCAGTGAGGGTTGCGTGCGGCCGTGAGAGGTCTGTGCCCTTGTAGACAAACAACGCGGGGGGTGGGGAAAGAGAAAGTCAAAGTCCAGTTGCTTTGGAATGCAGTGGGCCTGCGGAAGGGTAGTGACGGCCATTATCAACACCCCAAGCACTGATGGGTGGGAAGGGGAAATGTTTGTTTGGTGATTGATATATCATCTCAAGTGTCAAAACATTGTCTTTAGTTGATGTTCATTATCTGACAAGTTTTATGTCATTTGTTTATGTTGTAGTAATGTAAAATGTGACAATGTTTGATTAAAACACAAGTACCAGGGGACCGATCTTGCTCGAGGTGTTTGATTTGTTCAAGAGGTAAAAAAATAGAGCTTATAAGCCTACAAATATTTTCAGTCTTACTACGATTAATTAAGTAGTAAAGTCAATTCTTTTTTGTTAGACATCCACCTATCCTCAATTTAGTCTACAAAACTTTTTAATTTGGACGATCAATCTATAAAACGTCCACAATAAGCTTTAATCAATATAAAACTCATGATACATAACATCTGTTATCTGACGACCGTTATTGCATTAAGTTACTGGGATCGTGGAACGTTGCAACTATAATTACGGGATAGTGTAATAACGCGTCAATTCGTGCGGTGCATCGTCGAAAAATACAAATCTCTTTGGCCTTTCCTTTAGATTTTTAGTTCAATGTTAGTGTATATTGTTTTGCAGTAAAACAATTAATGTTTTTGAACAGTTGTAATTATCCCTTTGGTTAGTAACACATCATACAATGCAAATGTATTATACAAGCAATTTTCAATAGCATTGAAATTGGAGGAAATCGTAGGAGCCATTTTTTAAATCATATCTTGCGCAATCTTTACTCATATTATAGTATATATTAGTAATCAAGATGTGACATTAAAAAATACTTTAAAACAACTGCCCAACAAACAACTAATTTCTACTAAAACTAACTTTATTTTCTATCAGTTAGTTTTTCAACTAACTAATAACTTCTATCAGTTACTTTTTAAACTAACTAACTTATAACTTCTATCAGTTACTTTTTACGGGACTAACTTATAACTTCTAACTAGTTAGAATTTTTGACTAATTTTCCCAACTATGTACTGTATTGGGTATTGAATAAATATAAAAGTTAAGTAAAGTAAGAAGTAGTCTATATTTTATCGTCCTAATAAGTACATTAATTAATGTGTATGTAATCCTTACTTCAGTTATGTTAATGGTGTTTGGAAATGTTTACAAACTTAATTTTACTTTCAATTAATTTTTTGAACAATATTTTTTTTATAATTCACTTTATGGTTACCTACTCTACATAATAAATTATATTTCTTTGAATAATCTTTCTCTAATTGAATAGAGCTTGCACAATGTCGTGTGTAGTGAAACAGTATCCAGGAAGTATGGAAGTACAGTATGGAGAAATGTCATTGTTAGTTACTTTGGAGATTATTTGGGGGGAGTGGAGATTAAGTCTACGAATAGGGGCGCACGGGGAATACTTGCATCGGGGCGCAGTCAGACTAGTTAGCCACTGAATTTACATAACCACATTCTGTTGACTCGTTTCAACCCTGATAATATTTATTCTAAAACTGGCTACAACTTAAACATGGGAATAGAATGTCCAGTTTTATACAGTCAACGTAGCATTTTAATCATATCAACTGTACTCACGTATAGTGTAAGATAACTGATAAGCCTAAACTGAGTCACAATTACATCGAATGGTTAAATAAAAAGTATATGCTCTCTAGTCAACTAAAATGTAATTCAGGTAGTTTTGTTACAGAACCCAGATCAAGTAGTGGCATACTACATTGCTCATAGACAAAATAGAGAAGATCAAATTGTGAGTGTGCTAAAGAAGGCGCATCAACCTCTTAGTGCTGCTGAGATTGTGCAAACCATCTATTCTGTAAGTTCAGAAAATTGTATATTATTTTAAAGAACTATAAATTTTTCAACAAGAGTTACAAATACCCCCGCCGCAGCAAACCTGCAGACTAAGCGAATTTCAACTTGTTTGATTACATTTTTACTAAAATATTTCCATAAATAAGACATATTTATTCCCTATTTAAATAACATTATATTTAACGAGTGCTTAGGTCTGCTGCTACGGGGAAGGTAAAAAGTGTTTTTTGACGATACGTCAATAGTATAGGATGAAATAAATAAATTTGCCAAATTTTATCAATATATATCCATAAACAAGTAAACTACAACCATTTTCATTTTCTCCATAAGAATAACATGGGAATTTTAAATTACACTATTTTTGAATTTTCTCCGTGACTGTTAGGCATACAACAGCGCTTCAATATACTAAATTATTTCTTTTTTTAAGCTCTACAAAACGGTTTAGGAAGAAATTGCAAAATGTTTTGTTTTTAGGGTCAAAAATGGGAAAAACCCATTTTTACCCCATAAAACCCCCCATAAACCCCCGTTCCCATGGTCCGATTATGCTGGATCGCGAACTCGTTCGAATAAACGTAGGATTACACGTTTGTACCAAATTTCATCAAAATCGAATCATTTTTGCTCGAGTTATCGCGCTAACGGACACATATATCTATACTTATAAAAGGCAAAGCCCTCACTGACACACTCACTCACTCACTCATCACTAATTCTCCCACTTCCCATTTACCTAGGACGCTGAAATTTGGTACACTGATTCTTTAGGCATTAAATAGGAAAACTAAGTTGTTTTTATTCTGATCGGACCCTCGGGCTCCGCCCCAGTGGCTCTGGAGTTTCCCATGTTAACCTTATGAGTACTCATATTTAAAAGGAATATTAATGAATCTTATCAGCTGTTTCAATTAAACAAGTTGGTTCTGTTCTATGATGTTCAATAGCATTAAAGTTACAAGGATTACCAACAGGGTGCAGCACTATTGTTTTTTTTAATTTATGACAACAGCTAATTTGCAATCAAAAGGTGAGTGAGCGTAGCGAACGAACTTCAACCTGGAGGCGAGTTAGCGTAGCGAACGAGCTAACCTGAAGGCAAGTGAGCGCAGCGAACTAGCTCCAACCTAAAGGTGAGTGAGCGTAGAGAACGAACTTCAACCAACACGTAATTGAGCCATGCGAACGAGCTCATCTTGAAAATTAAGAAGTTAAACGGGCTAGTAAATATATATATATATATATATAAATATATATATATATATATGAATTTAAACGGATGGTGTTTTTGGTCTCTAGGGACCTCAAAACGAAAAAGTAAATCGGTCCCGGGTCCAGGTCTTACCATGAGTACTACGATAATAGCTTATTCCCTATATGGGAAATTCGCTAAAATGGATAATGATAATAAAATGATAATGTACCAAAAAATTTTCATTATTATTTTGTTTGTTTTTTAGGATTTAGATGAACGACTTTTATTAGCTGCAGAAAATAATGTTATTAAACATTTGATCAAGCTTGTAAAAGAAGAAAAGGTCATTGAAATTGATGACAAATGGCAAGTAAGTACCTACTTTAAGAATTGTAAATGTATCCTTCAGTGAACAAAAACCACAAAAATCTGGAAGAGTTTGGGTTTAGAGATTCGATCAGAACTTGTGTCACAGCTGACCACGTCAGACCGTAAATCAGCTGATAGCTAAACTAAATTGATGGCTTCGACATTCCCTAGTTCTCAAAATTAAATTTCTTTTTAACACAAAACCCATGAAAATCCGTCAAGCGGTTGATTCAGAATCTTGAAATAAAAAAAACCCTGTCACGTTTTAAATGTTTTAATATACAGGGTGTCCCGGAACTCTCCACCAATATTATAGGGCATTGCTCTTGGGTAATAAACATACCTAAATATCATATTTAAATTGCCCGAAAGTCCTTAGTTACTCACACAGCCGCCATTTTTTTTTTCAGTTATTTTTTTTCCTAAAGAATGGTTAAACATACGAAATGGAAACTTTGCACAAACATTTATGACAACTAGACAAAGCTACCAAAAGATTATGACGATTTTTCAAATGCATAAAACAAAATGGCGGCCGTTTAAATTTTTGTTTCTTAAATAACTCGAAAACCGTTGATTTTACCAAAATTTTACATAAATAACTTGTTAAGGCAATGTTATTACAAACCGATCGACACCTTAATCTTTAAGATTGGACGAGTATTAACTGAGATATGGCAGTTTTAGTGATACGTGACCGCTGGAGGCACAGAAAATATACTCTGGAGGTTAGTTGCAGCGCATGCTGAAAGCGGTCACATATCACTAAAACTGCCATATCTCAGTTAATACTCGTCCAATCTTAAAGAATAAGGTGTCGATCGATTTGTAATAACATTGCCTTAAAAAAGTTATACGTGTAAAATTTTAGTAGCCTATAATCAACGGTTTTCGAGTTATTTAAGAAACAAAATTTTAAATGGCCAGCATTTTGTTTTATGAATTTGAAAATGAGCCAGAAGAAAATCTTAAATGGAAGCATAGGTCAATATGCACATCAAATGTAAGGTCTTTTTTAGTAGAATACAATGCCGTAAACCGCACTTCAAAAGGTTGATCCTGTGCAAAATGGCAGTCGTTCAAAGATTTCTTGAATCTGCCATTTTGAATCTTTGAACGACTGCCATTTTTTACTCAGCTTGTTTTGAGCTTGAATTTACGGCATTGTAATCTACTAGTGAAGACCTTTAATTTGATGTACATGTCAACCTATGCTTCTATTTAAAATTTCCTTCCGACTCCTTAGGGGACGTCCCCATAATATGACAGAAAATTCATAGTTCCTTGAAAAAGTAGATTTTTAGGTGTGGTGCTGATGTACCAAATCTTATTGATATCTGTTGTCGTTTAGAAAATATTAAGCCCGTGCGGGACTTTATATACACCCTGTATATATTTGGCCTGGACCTAGAGCAGAGGAATCTTTTATCTCTCTACCCCCTAACGGTTATTGTGGCCAGTACGCGCAGCGAACGAGCTCCAACCTAAAGGTGAGAACTTTAACCAGGACGTGATTGAGCCATGCGAATGAGCTCACTTATGAAGTTAAACGGGGCAAAGCCCGCGGGTACAGCTAGTAATGATGTGTCAAAACTGAATCTCAAATCTCAAAACCATCAAAACTTAGGAAAAGTTTCGGTTTCGAGATTCGATCACCAAGTTTCGAGATTCAAAAGTTTCGAAATTGAAGATTTTGGCAGTTTTATTTTTGAAACTGCTGACCTTTTTTTTGTGTCATTGTTATTGTTTCCACACAACACTGTTTCCAAACAAGCTGGTAGCAATAGAGCAAACATCACCATTAAACATTAATGACACAAGTAAATTTTATTATGAACTTCAAAAGGTATCTTAAATACTATAACTGGTACAATTCAGTTTCACATCAATATCATAGACAAACCAACACAAGGGAGTATGTTTTATCTATGTCAATATTTACTAAACACAAAGAAATATTGACCACTAAATGTTCTAATTAATCTAATTCATGTTAATGTCGGTGTTAGAAGTTTTATTGATTTATTTTTTGTTGGTTGTTTATGAAAAATTATGTTGTATTGGGTTTTAAGATTATCAGTCACATTCACATATTTATGTTATGTCACGGTCAGAAGTCGATCTCTTACAGTTTTGATTGCATACTTAACATTTTATGATTATGTGTATTTTTATGTAACCTTGACCTTTGTAACCAGCTAAGTAAAAAAGTTTCGCGTTTAGGTTTTGAGATTCGAGATTTGGGATTCGATTTTTTAAAGTTTCGGTTTTGAGATTCAAAATTTTTGGTTTTGACCATCACTAATTTGCAGGTTATTAGAAGAATATACAGTGCTTATCTTTCCATAATATTATGAAACTCATATAATAAAAGAGACTTAATGTTGACTTTAAAGGACCAATTCCCTCAATTACATGAAATAAATACATTCTAACTATAGTTGATGGGTTTTCGGTTTCATGATAACCATTTGCTATTCCGTGTGTGTGCCTAGACATCAATCTTCACACTGCAAACGTTCCTTACTGTGCACCGCTACAAATGAAATGCCACACAAACGCTTATTTAAACATTTAAGACGCTCATAACCTCTCAACCACAGTGACTGATGACCCCGGGACCTGTATTAGTTAAGACGTTATGAGGCATGTGCTTAACAGCAAGAATGGACCTGTAGTTGATCAGGCTCAACTTAGTCTTCTAGAGTCTACTAGATATTTGATAATAGTAGCTATGAAAAACTTGCATGTATCCTATTAAAGAAACACTCGGTAGTATAGACATTTTCATTTATTTATTGTTAAAGAATACATTTCCAAACGTTTACACATTGTGCTTTAATCACAAAGTTTCTGAACACTGACTTCATTAACATACAGCAAACAATTAGGAACAAATGTCACTACTAATAGCTAAATGCAAAGGCAAATTAAGGGCTGCATAACATCAAAGAGGATTGCATTTTATAATAACTTGTAAAAAAACATGCAGCTTTAAACAAATTATTTTTTACAGTGTTTCACGATTAACTCTTAAACACACATTTAAAAAGTATATCTCACTGCTCCAGAATTGATAAATAAGACATTTCAATCTTTTGAATCTTGTGCTTTTAATTTAAACGTGCTACTCATCAAAAAGGTGATTGGTTTCTGGATAAATATTTCAATTTGCTTGTATACTTTTCAATATTTAATACATATTACCTTTTGTGATTTTGTGATTACCTTTTTATCCAAGAATATCTTGCTTGGAAATCAATTTAATTCAAATACATTTTTACAGAGCTCCATAGCTTGAAGTACATCAACTTAAGTACAAACTTAAGTACAAAAACTCAAATACAACCATAATATTAAAACCATTAAGCATCCCAAAAATGCTGATACAGTAAGCCAAGAACTGACTCATGTTGGTTATGCTCACACCAACTCGGACTGTAGCATAGCATCCTTTTTCTTTGTAATGTAAATCTATTGATCCGGAACTTCCCCCAACATCCCTTTTCCCGAGCAATAAACCCAACTCCTTTTTTCTCAAAGTTGAGCGACTTTTATATGACTCTTTAAGTTCATAAGATAAGGATATACAGTCCGGTAAGCATCCACAGTCACACATTTCCTTATTCACAGAACATTCTTGAAAGCAGATCTTTGTGGAGATGTTGAGTCGAGGCAGGTAATATGGAACACATCCACACACATTTAGAGAACAGTTAGCAATACATTCAGTCTCACAGTTTTTCTCAGTGTAGAATTTGAACATGGACAACTCTCTTTCATAGGAAAAATAACAACCTCTCTGATGAGACGAATAGGTTTTGATGCCTTCATCTGTTGTCAAGAGTTTGGGAATCACTTTCAAATGTTTTACAAATCCTCCTTCAAGAATGAAGTCACTTTCAAAGTTAAAAGGAATTTCGAAAGGGCTGTGTACAGCAAAAGATGTTTGTGCCTTATTTTCTTGAAAACATGGTTCCCCTTCTTGATCGTCTGTAATAATATGTGACTTGAGACGGATGGCTTGATCATTGGTAATGTACATTGGTATGGTATGTATATTCCCACCAGAATAGAGTGCATTGTCTAAGTTCAAATTTTCCCCAGTGTAGTTTTTCTCTGAATTTATGTTGGAGCCATGTTTTGCTGATAAAATAGGAATTGCAGTTTTTTTGTAAATGTCTTCATGATGCAATCCATTAATAGTTATACACACACTCTGATTTGTTAAGGAATATTGGCAGTGGTTATAAAAACAGCCCGATTCATACGCTGTCCCGAGTCCACCTTCAGATAACTCTTTGAATAAATTAATGTCATACCATAAACTGATAGCTTGAAATGCATAGTTTGGGAAATCTACAAAATGTATAGTTTGCTGAATCTTTTCATGGAATACTTTTGATAACAGTAGATTAGAAGGCAATAGAGATGAGCAAAGAAGGTAGATTAAGCCTAAGGAAGCTTGCTCTTCATGGGTACAATCTTCGTTAAAACAATAACTATGGTAATTATTGTGATCTTGATCAATGCTATCGTCTTGATTATCATACGTGGAATTGGATTTGCATTTCCAGCACGTCTCTACTACTCCAGCATAATCTGATCTGATAATGGGTTCGAGCGGATAGCACATCGTTATAGCTGGGAATGGGATTTCACTGGCCAAAGTTAAGTTATTAGAGATATATCTTATAACGGGTGTACTTTGCCAGCTGTCATACTCTTCCTTGATGAAAAAGAGGCTCAGCAGTAATGCTAACATTTGGATGGATACCCACAAATAGGTGTGCAATCGAGGTTGGTTCCTTTCTCCAAGAAACTGAAATCCAGGCAAGCTTATAGACTTTGTTATGTCTCTGAAGTAAGAATGTGGAAAACAGTCTTCATCCAAATGAAAGGTGTCATGTCTGTCTTCAATATCAGATTGACACTTGTTGGTATTTACTGATCTGTCAATTGTATCTAGAGAGCGAAAATTACCTGAGTTGGTACACTGACTGGATTCCATGCACTTTAAAAGCTCTTCCACCTTGTTCAATCTTATTTCAACCAATTCTAGCTTGGAGGAAGAATCTTGCTGCTCATGTTCTGGTGGAAACGAAGGATTCATGTTGCCAAACACGATAATTTGTGAATAAACACGAGTTCTGATTTGAAAGTTCACAATGATGCCTTTAAAATGTATTAAACACTTTTTACAAATATACAGTTCTACTTCAGCATCAGTATAGGATTGTGTTGCTTATGATATCCTGTTAAAATAATTAGGAAAATGTATCAAAATTACCCTGTTTATTTATTCAAACAGCTAATTTTATTACAACCACACCCTCTTAATTTGGGTAGCACAGGAGTAGAGTTTTCAGGCTGTTTTATAGGATCAATAACAGGACAATTAATTTTATCTACCTTATAAAAAACATAATTAGTAAATAGCAAATAGTATTATTACAAAAAAATAATACATATCCACAGACTCAAAATCTAAAATAAACTTTTTCAAATTATATACCAAAACTGTAATTTGTTGTAATTAAGTCAAATTTAAATTTATTGTTCTTGGCAGAAGTATACTGTACCCTCCCCCAAAAAATAAAACCCCTGTTTCAGGTGGAACCTGAGATGAAGTGATATGATGACAACAACCCAAAAAATGTTCTTGATCCTTATGGGTTTATGTTGGGGAAGTTTTTGGAAAATGATTTTACATATATAACTACTAGCAGAGTACCACTAATATAAATAATATATATATATAATATAATAATATTAATAATTATATGTATAATTAATAATAATAAAAATAATATATATAAGTACTAGCAGAGTTTGGGGAGCGAGCTGGCGTAGTGGTTAGAGCGCGGGATTTCAGTCCCTGAGGTCCCGGATCGATCCCCGCCAAGTCACCAATGGATTTCATCTAAGTGATAATGCCGCAACCCCTAGGTCTAGCCTGAAGTAATGTGACAAACAATCCCAGGCTCGTGCCTAGCGTCCTTAGGACAAAAAAAAAAAAGAAAAGCAGAGTACCCGTCCTTTGTACGGGGTTGGCATATAAGTATAAAATGCTTATTGCAGTTATACTCAAGCTTTGACGACTGGCGTTGCCTTGTCCATTACGTTCTTATGGTGGCTAGAAGGGCCCAAAATCTGTGGCCCTCCAATGTGTTAAGAGATTATTGCATTGTATTTCAACAAAAGTTATGACCCGTTGAAAGTTCAAAATTAATTTACATCGCAGTTTATTTAATAATATCAACCAAACAAAATAGGCCTATTAAGAATTTAAAAATATACTTTAGTGTTTATTTTGGGTGGGCCCGGCCCACTTGGCCCTTATGGAAGTACCGCCACTGATAGCTACCAAATTTATAAACATGTAACCGAATCTGGACATGACAGCCTGCTTAATGTAAAAGAAGACTTTAACGGTTCCATCATCTTTAAAACTATTCATGAAATAGAAACTAAATCTAACCCATAGTGCAACATTGCAGAAAACAGGCACTGTCGCAAATAGTGATGTGTCAAAACCAAATCTCAAAACCATCAAAACTTAAGAAAAGTTTTGGTTTCGAGATTCGATAGGCAAGTTTTGAGATTCAAAAGTTTCGAAATTGAAAATTTTGGCACTATTTGTTGAAACTGCTGAGATTTTTTGTGTCATTATTATTGTTTATAACACTGTTTATATATACAAGATGGTAGCAATGGAATTTTTTATTGACCTCTAATAAATGTTCTAATTAATTTAATATCATTATAATGTCATATAATCTGATAATTAATTTAATATCAGGAGTTTTATTTATTTTGATGTTTCTTTATAAAAAAAATTTTTGTTTTGGGTTTGAATTTTTATGTGTCACATTTGTCTGGATCAGGAGTTATCTCTTTCAGTTTTGATCACATAATCATAATGAAAATGTTATCATTAGGCCTACCTGTATTTTTAGGGTAACTTGGGTTTAATCACGTTTGGGTTTTGAGATTCAAAATTCGATTTTTTAAGTTTCGGTTTTGGTTTCGAGATTCAAAATTTAAGGTTTTGACCATCACTAACAGCTAGTACAGGATAAAGTACACTAGCCAATTGTTATCATGCAGTGTCTTTAATCAATAGTAAATAAAAAATAACATCAAAAATAAAACAATAATTTAATTTAAATGATCAGTCACTATCTCCTTGGGATGTAGGCTGGAGGAGGCATATCGGATTCTTCTTCTCTGTAGCGTTGCCTCTCGATAAAGTTGAGAAGAATTTCTGTCGTAACAGGGTTTGCAATAGTGTTACAAACCGCTGAAAAAAAAAATGTTTTTGTAAAGAGAAAACTTATGGCTGCCATGACTTTTTACTCAATGCCAAATACTGAAAAGTCCTTGGTGATTTAAATAAGTGTTGCAAAGTCCTGGGAAGAAGCCATATATCCCTTATTGAAGACCTAATTTGCAATATAGGTATTTAAGAAACCTTTTTTTTTCAAAACTCTTTCATAAATACTAGTACCTAGCCTATTAAATGATGTTGTTACTGTTATTTCAATTTTCGGTTCACTACAAACAAGAAATTTTGTATGAAATGAAATAGTTTCCTGTACTACTGATTGGCTATATTTATATCTTACAAACACTAAATATCAGATATAACTATTTACAACTAAATAATAAAATAGAACTAATTTCTCTTCAAAACACAATCCGGGAAATTGTAAACATAACTATTTCTATTCAGTCTCAGCATAACTGTAAAAATAGACAACAAAATATAGCGTAATTTAGGTGGCCCTGCTAGCTACAATGAAAGAGCAAAATGAATTGGCGATGAATGATTTGAAGCTTTTGGACGGAATAGACACATTAAACTGCCAATAAGTCCATGATATTGTTGTGTATTATATGAAGAGTTGATCTCAGCAATGCTCGTGAAGTCATAGCACCAAAGGATTAAGGATGCGCTCTATCTCAGCTCGGGCTTCAGTAGCGATGTTGCGCCATTGAACAGCACCGCAAGAAGCGCTTGAAGATGTTTTCAAATTACTCAGTTAAGTTTCAAATTTTTTTTTCATCTGAAGGATATTCCTTACACCTTAGAATAAAATTTATGACTCTTTTTTTATATTTTCTTCAAAAAATTCATTTATATGTGTAAAATGCTATAGAAAAAAGCTTATTTAGAAGTATTTACCAGTCATTTCCCACTTAAAATTCTAATATTACCAAAAAATTAAAACAATACAAGCCTACAAAAAGAAAATATTAATAAATTAACAGTAACATATTTTCAATCGGGTAAGAACTAAGCTGACAATGACGGAGATCCTAAACCCTTGAATTAGTACGTGACGTAGAGCGCACCCATAATGCCGCTATTTTGTCTCATAATGTTGGGTTTTATCCTTTTTTTTTACTTATCCATCAGGGACAAATTCCTGTCATACCATACTTACATTGTGCAGTAGTGAAACTGTTGGGGAAAGACTTGTCAGTTCGCTCTCTCATGAACACCCATGCGTTCTTCTCATATTTACACTCAATAATCTTGTTGTCCAACTCCTTCATCGATTTGGATACTTTCATTTTTGAAAATGGGGGTTCCAGACCTCCAACAAACAGCAGACCTACCAGACTGGGCACAATTCTGAAAAAAACCACATTTTGGTTAAGTTATTGAAAGTTATTAAAAGTTATCCTTACTCAAAACTCTTTTTAACTGCCATAAAAAAATCAATTTGGTTGATAGCATGCTATGTATGTGTAAGGTTTAAAAAATGTATGACAAGCCAATCAAAACATTGACAAATAAAAATAAATTATGCTGAAAATCATCCTTTGTTGGCCAATTATAACAAATCCCAGTTGGCTTAAACAATAAGATACACGTTTAATATAATTATTTATAATATATGTGTTTTGTTTTTGTTTGTTTCAGCTTATAGAGCAAACGTCAAAGTTTTAGGCCTAATACCACACAAGGCTTTTACACCAGTATACAGTTTATGTAACACGTGATATTATAATAATCAACATGCAAGCAATATAGACTTTGACTTGTTCACATTTGTTTGAACCATCGATCTATTACTACAACTGGATCGCGCGCTGTGTGCTGGGTTTTCGGTCCGGTTGCTCGGATCTTCCCCCACCACCTAACGCCTGAACTGTCTCTCTCACTCATTACTTCTTATTGTTTCTGTATTTGCGCTCACAAAATACGCTACATCTCTGTTCACTGTTACTCCATATTCAATTAATTTACTTAAACAGTTGTAATCTCCATGATACTGTGGAGATTATGGAATAGATTTTATATCAAAATCATTCGGTTTTAGATTACATTCGATACTAAAATCTGCTAAACACAGTCTGATGCTGCCACTTTAAATTGTAAAGCTGTTATCTTCGCTAATGATTAATTTATTTGTCCGGTAGTCAATCCGTCCAGTAGTTAATGCGTAATTGAACTTCAAACAAACAAACACACAAACTTTCACATTTATAATATTAGTAAGATAACAGATATCCATTAGCTTTTATTAACTTCACTTCATGGGTGGTTTCTCCCAGCTAATAGACATCCATCTTCATGGTCTCTAAAAATAGTTTTGGCAGAAGTTCCAAAACTATTTTCAGAGACCATGAAGATGGATATCAATTGGATAGCATGCCATGTTCACAACATGATAAACCATTTTTTCCTTTGTAATATTATTATTCAAAATAGACTGGAAAAACTTAACTAACTTAAACAGTTCTTGAGAAGAGTAAAACAAACCACCCATATCTATAGAAGCCGTGAAATCCATGTGTGGCTGAGGCCGTGTTGATCTTTGTTTGGGCCATCCTTATTTCCCTCCAATCTCCTTAATCTGGTGGAAAGTGAGTGAACTAAGTAATGCAGTGTTTGTGTTTGATTGGTGCTGAACTCTGGTGGGCAAAGCCTGAACTTGGTGGAGTGGGTGATCTTATCTACTTTCTCTCTTCTGGAAAAGTTTTCAGACAAGCAACATGTCTAGGGTTTTGTTTGGTGCAGTGTTAAAGTTTCTAAGTATTGGTTTAAAGTAAATGTAAATATGTAGTGCTTCAAGTAATTATTTTCTTTAATAACTTCCTATAAAGATGTAAAGATCTTCGAAAGTGGGTAAGATCACTCCAGCATCATAAGTGAACATTATTAGCATCAGTAACTTCAACAGACATTATGTGGCCACTTCCCTTCCTTCCTCCAAGTCCATTTAACCATTATTAATTATTGGGGAAATTAATGCATCTGGCCAGATTTAAACTAATAAATCTAAATAAAGTTAAATATGACTGTAAGATAAAAGGTACACTTAATTTCTAGGTAAAAGTAAACTACAATCCATGTTAACTGTGATGAGTGAGAGCCTTAATAAACCAATTGTTTCAAATGTATGTATTGTTCTTCATGTCTAGCCCCAAATAAGTCACCAAAGCAAGTCAGATAATACAGTCCACTTAAGTGTATGCTTAAAATAAAGTCAGTAAAAGTCAAACACGGGCATTGGTCCGAACAATCTTAGTTTCACTAAAACGTTCAAACATTCTTTATCATCAATTTTCCAGAAATGTAATAACAATACATTCTCCTGGTAATACAGATTACCAATTAAGGGTTGACAGAAAAGTCGAGACTTGAATCTAGTAATGTGCACCTGCAAGACGTTCCCGGGTATCTCGTCAATTTCATTTTAAAACATTTCCGTTTTGAATCAAATTTTTTACATAATGTGTTCAAATGAATTGATTCGAAAATATAATAAGCTCTACCTTATATTTTTCATTTCAACTTAAAAAAAATATTATTTTGACTTAACTCCACTAACTCATGCTGGGGCTTTTGTCATTAGATAAATTTTAATCCGTCCTATTATAGGGATTTATTTTAAAGTACAAAGTAGTACACATTTTGTAAATAAAGTAGGCTTAGAGGGCTATACCTTTTTCTTGCTTTGATAATGAATGGTACAATGGAGTTTGTAATAATAAAACAACATCAAAACCTCCGTACTTACATGATGAATACAACAGTGAAACCCGAATGTGAACCGAATAAGTATCAACAAAGATACGACAGTATATATCAATGAAAACACAGTAGCCCCATATTAAGTGTATGGCAGAAGCTGTGGAAGGGGGTGCGCCGGACCGATACGAACAAAATTTCTGAGCAGCACAGCCTGCGATCCAGTTGTAGTAATAGAGATGAATGGTTTGAACTTATTTAAAAATATGTGATAAGTGACAGCACAAAGTAATATATTTAGTAGTAAAAATTATGTTACCATTTTCAGTCAACTAATAAATTTAATATAGTTATGTTTTATTTGACTCTTTTCCCCATGATGCCTAGGATTTACTTACAAAATAGTGTATTTTTTTGGCTGGTACTTAATCCTTTGACTATTAATACAATAGTCAATGCTTAATCTTTGTCTAACGTGGTTTATTATGTTGTATTAATTACTGCCTGCAGTTGAATACAGGTTGTATATATTAATTGATAAATACTTTAGCAATAATAGACATAAAAGTCGTTTGCTGACATCTTTGTGCTTTTGATTTTGATTATTATTCTTAATGTACCTCAAGTTAACTCAACTTTGGCCTGCAAGAGCCCATATTTTAGTAGTGTCAAGATCTACAACTGGCTACCAAGGAACATCATTCAAGAGCAAAATATCAATAAATTCAAGAAGATGTTAAAGGAATATTTATGTGAAGCGGCCTATTTTAAAGTAGAAGATCTGTTCAATTAGGCCTATTATTGTGTTTTCTACCCATTTTGACGACCACGTCGCAGGAGCGGTGCTAGTGGGACATCAATAAAAAAAAAGAAAATATACTCATCAATTAAAATTAATCTCGTGGCTTTTTAGCTAAGTTAGGCTCAGAACCACCAGGTTATTACATTATTACATTGTTAAACCTGATCCTCTAGTCTAGTATACAAAAAAGTCTAATCATTAGACCAGTAGTTAGAGTTGAGACTTTACTCCAAGTACAGCTTCAAATCTCATTGAAGAAGAATCATAAGACCAGCTATTCTGCTCCCCCTCAAGTGACAAATCAAAGGTAAAGTGGAACACTTACAATATTTTCATTACAAGCAACTTTCTAATTTATTTTCTACTGAATCAATTTTAAAACTCACCCCTCGCCTCCCTCTCTCTGGATTTTCAAGCGGAAGTCCACTGAGTTGTGGCTCGGAGGTTTCCACTTCAACACTTCCTTACATTGTCCAGTCTTGTAGGGCTGAGGACACAACATTACTAATGAGTCAATGTAGTTGAAGATGATTTGGTAGGAACAAATATTAGTTCTATTTGGAGGGGTTTTGCTTGAAATATAAGGAATTTACAAATTTGTTTGTACAGAAAAGTATTTGGTACATTGTTAAAATGTAATTATCGACCTGATCAATAATTTGTATTATTTCCTAGCAGGTAAACATGACTTATTTGCTTATTTATTATTTGGATGGTTCTTAACCAAAGAAGACTTTTCAAACACATAAGTGAGAAATAAGGTATAACAGGGTCTGTCAGAATCGGCCAAATTGGATCAATTTTAAAGGATATTTTATGGTGGAACACTTCATTTATTACTTCCTAGGTACAAAATTTAAACATTTTGATTTTAAGCATTTGGGGAAATCGGGGACTTTTCAGGAGATTGGGAATATCAGGAATCAAGGAGCTGTAGACACCTTTTAAAACATACTTAAGAACACTACAAAATTATATTTTATGTCCAAACTGACTGAATATTTTATGGTGAGCATGATCTATAAAAAAAGCACCAACTATCTATATTCCCAAGATTTACCTGACAACAAGAACAGATGGACATTTTCAAAAATCATGGAGCGCGTTCTGGGAACACTAACCGGTGCACTGGTACAAGACCGGTGCAGAAAATGTGTTGTTCTAAGAAACCAGTGAGTTTACCTAGCAGACAGCCCTCCGCCAGTGTATATACACCAGCGGCTTCTGATTGGTCAGTTTCTTGGGCACCAGTCTGCAGCTATGGCAAGATGGCTGTTCCACAGAGTAAAATATCAATTGTTTATCAGTTTGATGGATTATATTACCCAATAATGGAATAATATATCAATAATCTATTCAGTGAGGGTAAGTTAGTTCAATGTTAATATTATAAAGTAAACAGTAGGTTTATGTGTAAATTACAATCCAATGTGCACCGTAAACTGCTGACTAACATTCTGGGATCCCAAGACTCAATTGCGCTGGGGCAGTACGAGTGAGCAAGACACCAGATGCACAGGGGCACCAATCACATGTTCCCAGAACGTGCCCAATGATAGATGAATTCTTATGTTTTAATTACTGTATGTTGTACTTACATCGTCTGTTGGTTGGAATATCAGTCCGTCTGGTTCATGTGACAGTTGCTTGGCAAACTTCTCTCCCAGCAAACTGCCAGCTTTGTCCACCGGATAAAACTGTTTCATTCTAATACTAAATGGTTCTAGTTCCTTTCTGATCCTGCCTTCAGTCACAGCTTTGTTCCTAGGTCCAACTACGTCTACCTCTATGACTTTTAGCCTCAGAGGAAACTTCATATGGGCCACGTCGATTCCATCACACTTGATGATGTCGTAGGCCAAATATCGAGGGATATTCTGGCCTTCGTGTTTGTCTATCACCATTTCCTAAGACAAAAGAAACACTGATAAATGCATTATAACAAGTAAAGCTGGATAATCAAGCTATTTTAGAATTATTAATTACTTATTAATTATTTGGATGAAATCTAAAATGAATACAGCCAGGTTGTTTGTTTGTGATTTGTAAAACAAACAGCAATAAAACACACCCGTGTTGTCACTAAGATTTATATCAGCTTATGCATATATTTTTTTGTAGTTTTTACACCAGTAGAATGTATGTTACCAGTTTCTAATTCTTATTTTAAATTATCTTATTTTTCTCAACATTTTTACTTAAACTCAATAAAAAGAGTAATCTTACTAATATTATAATATTGAAATAATTGCAGTTTCTCCACAAATTCAATAATATAGTCTAAATAATTTAGTCTAATAATTTAAATTTTCCTGTTATTTAAATCATTTATATTTAATGTTAAGATTTTCCAAGCGTTAACTTAAAATTGACCAAACCAAACTGAAAACAAAAACGTTCTGACGCACCCCATCTAGAAGAGTATTTGTGAGGTGTCTATTTGGGTCTTTACGATGAGGAAACTTTAGTCCTTCAACTTGAAAAACGCTGTTGTCTCTGTCCAAACAGTAAACTTCCCCTTGCTTTAAGATGAGCATCATGTACCTAGAAACAAACATGTCTGATTACACGATGGAAAGTTGTTTTATGTTAAGTAAATTCAAATACAGTGTTTTCATAAAATAATGGTGGGGTTTTAAATGTCTATAAAACTATTATAAGAGGAATTAAATATTTCATATTGGTACCCCTGCATTCGGTAGCTCAAACAGTTTTGTTTACATTAATTAAAACAGCCGTGTGGATTGTTGTGCTGATCAACAACCTACTAATTCTTTTAAATAAACTTCCAAGTTGTGTTTTCTTTACATGATTTCTGATCATGATTAGGCTAAATGTGTAATGTTATTAAGTAAACTAAAGTCAGTGACTCTAGTACAACAGGCATTTAGAAGTTCCACATCATGAAGAAAATAACATTCGTCGTTGGAGTAAGCCGTTTATAAACACTGGATCAGTTAAAAAGCAAAGTAGGCCTGGGAGACCACCAGTCTTGAACCAGGCAGTGAAAACATTTAATAGATAATAGGATGGCGTATCATCTAAACAATGATTGGTATATCTAGTAATCATTAGCAGGAAATGGGAGAAAAATCACACAAAATTGGGTTTTGGACGTGTGTAATTTAATTTTACTTCCTAAGTAGGTAACTTAGGCCATGTATTCTAGGGAAAAGTACCGGTATCAATAATCGTTGTCAAAATGTGGTTACAGTAGAATCCCGCAAACTCGGGGTAATGTGGACTGGAAGGGTGCCGAGTTTGTGAAATGCCAGGTTATCAGGAACTAGGGTTAAAGATAAGGACAATACAATTTTTAAGCTCTTTAACCTCCTTTTTTTATAATACAAGTCAGTATTAAGTCATCCGATATAGTACAAAAAATCCTTGGTACGGGTTGTGAATGATTTTACTTGAGCTGGCTTGAGTCCATGTTTAACTCGGACTCAAAATATTACTAATTTTCTGAGCCAGGTGATGGCCGAGTTATCCAGACTGCCGGGTTATCGAGTGCCGAGTTTGCGGGACTCTACTGTATAAATAATTGGGTGGGCCTAAGTACCCAAGAGATGGGCTATGGGCCTATTGGTATGGTCCAGCGATTGCAGCACATAGCGGTGAGTAGAAACCGAAAGTGATACTTTGGAAAAGCAAGTTTAGCAGCATCCGTAAACCTCTATTACGATCACAACAAAATCTAAAAGATCTTCCAACATCGCAGCGACATCCATCACCACCCACTGCAGTTGTGATTATTTACTTTACAATTCACACAACTGATATTGAAGCGCCGTTAATGAGTGGAAACCTTGTTTGTAAGCTATTGGCGACGATGATTTAAAACATGTAAGTTTCCCAGCCCTATACAACACTGGTTCATGGTCATGGTCTTTTCCCTGGCATCAAAACTCAGGTATAATTTGATACACACAGAATCTCCGGTTCCCGACCTGGATTGTGTTAAAAGCTTATCAAATAACTAGCTTGTAACTGCAATGCTAAGTTTAAACATTTACCTTGTCCCATCTGCCTTCCACGACACCTTATATGGCATCTTCTGAAGGAGCTTTATATTACTGAGATCCATTGATACAGGCTGACATCCTGGGAACCCTGATCTGGAAAAAGAGTTTATGTTTTAGATATTTCCCTCCTTTAAAATAATAAAACAAAATATTTAATATTGGATCATGGTTGTTTTGACAGATGCTCATGATGAATTAACTGCTATTTGGTTTTGTAATAATTTTAAACCGATTGTTAAATACAGTAGAGTGTTGTTATCTTAAATCACAATACAGTCAAGTTCCACAAACTCGGGGCCCCATAACTTAGAAGTTTGGATTCCTAGGCCCCTTTGGATAACCCTAACCTGGCGTTATTTATAAACCAGTGAGCAACTCTGGTGGTTAACCATAGAAAACAGCCTGAATTACAGTAGAACCCCAGTTAACCGAAACCCGGATTAACCTCAACTGTTCTATAAATTAATACATGGCTAAAATATAGGTACAATACAAAGTTTATGTAAAC